GGGGAAGTCCTTTTGGAGCCCCAGGGGCTTCGAGTCATGGTCCGGAAAGGGCAAACCCTCGCTCAAGGGCAAGGAGAAGGCTGGCATAGGGAAAGGTTACGGGGCTGGCAAGTCGGAATGGCTACCCGAGGGCCTACGTTACCAGGGAGCGTCCGCATGGAACAAGAAGGGCAACAAGGTTTGCTATAGTTTCAACCTCGGCGGGTGCACGGACGCCAATTGTCAGAGGGGTGATCATGGTTGCATCATCTACAAGTGTGGTGGTGACCACCCGGTTACCAAGTGCCCGCTGAAGCCTAAAAAGCTGTGACTAGGTGATCCTGGTCTCGATGAGACTTCGCTGGCTCGGGATGTTGAGATGGTTCCTCAGGATGAATCCGTTAGTGGCGTCATCTCTGCTCCGAACCAGGAGGTCGGTATGGAGGCCTTACCTTCAGGTGCGGGATTGGAACCCGTATCTGCGGTTGGGGTTGCCGAAGGTTGTGAATGTGACATTGAATGTTCTTTTTCGATGGCTTCAATGCCGTCGGCCACGACACTGCCAGTTTTCCAAACCGGCGAGGAGACATCTTCTCGGAGCGAGCAGTGTTCTTCGGCTACAGAGCCGCAACAAGTTTTCTTGAATGAACAGCACGGGGGACCTACCCGTGCGATCCTTCAATGTTTTGCTGGGCAGGCCCGTGTGGCTGCAGCTCTGCTCGCGCAGGGTTATTTTGCTTATGGAGTGGATCGTGTTAAACACAAGTCCGCTATGGCACCTGTTTTGCAAATGGACCTGTCCTCTAGGACAGCTTGTGATTCTGTTCTTACTTGGTTGGACAAACGAAAGATTGCGGGGGTGCTGATTTGCATACCAAAGCTCACCTTGGACCCCATCTCTGCGGCATTTGTTTTCGCGGTTATCAATGGATGCCTCGACAGGGACTTGCCGTTAGTGGTCGAAGGCTCTTGCAAGTCCCCATTTTGGGATAATTTGAAAGGGCGAGAACCGGCAGGGAAGTCGACAACACTGGAGACATCCTCAGGGGCCTACCCCCGTGGTTTTGCGACTGCTTTGGCTGAGGTCTTCGCGGCTGGCGTCACAGCAAGAAAACTTCTGTGCCAAAACCCTTCTTTGGCCAATAAGGCCATCCGAGTGTCGGCCATGCACCAACCTCGGGGGCACTTGAATGAGGTCATGCCGGAATGGAAGGTGGTCGTCTATGTGCTGCTTCCTAGATCAGTGACTGAGGACCCTTTCTCAGGACGTAAGCGTCTCAAGCAGGAATGGCGGATTCCGGATGGCATCCGAGTGTTGCCGGGGATGGCCGCCCTGCCGGTGGATTCCCAGCTTCTGTCGCGGACTCAGACAGGGGGGAACTTGAGCCCGCAGCTTCAGCAGGAAATGCAACAACTGGATGGCGCCTCAGTGCTGAGAGTGGGGATTCCTTGGGATCCGATTGAATTTATTGGAAAGGCAGCAAAGCTAGGACACCCTTATCATCAGCTGTCTAAATGCAACAAACCATTAGAGAAGTTGATTGAGCAACTTGTACATCATCCAGGTTCGGTGAGATCCCAGAGAAAGTTTTACCTTGAGAAATGGGCTAGAAGAGCCAAAGAACTGGAGCCAGAGGAGGCACAGCTGAAGGCTGGTATGTCCACCCATCGAGGAGCGATCCTCGGACCGAAACGTATCCTCCTCTTCCAAGAAATGCTTCAAGACATTCAATATGATGATATGGGCGTAGTGCAGGAGCTCATTCAGGGAGCCAGGCTCACAGGCCCTATCCCAGTGACAGGAGTTTTGGATGCGAAACTGAAGCCAGCCAGGATGGACATTGAACAACTTGTGGACATGTCTGACCAGGTGTGTGAACAGATTTTCGCCAGGACAATATCCAGTGGTGATAGAAACATGGACACGCTGTTGTGGGAGAAAACGTTAGAGGAGGTTGAGAAGGGTCACCTCGCAGGACCTTTCGACGTTCGCCATCTCCCCAAAGGCTGTTTGGTGACCCGTTTCCCTCTGATGCAGGGAGGCAAACTCCGACCTATCGACAACTACTCTTCCAGTCTCATTAACGACACGGTTACCGTCTCCGAGAAACCTGTTACACATTCAATTGACGAGATCGCACTCCTAATTACCAAGCTATCGAAGGCAGCTAGAAAAAAGGACTGTTGGAACTCTTCGGGAAGACGGCTGACCTGAAAAGCGCCTATCGACAGTTGGCCATTTCAGATGAGAGTTTAAGATTTTCATACTTGGCAGTGTACGACCCGTTTGAGGGGAAGCCCAAATTATTCCAGCAACTGGCGGTACCTTTTGGTTCCACGAAAGCAGTATACTTCTTCTTGAGGGTTGCGAGGGCTCTTTGGACGATCCTGGTGAAAGGAGCCAGAATCCCTACGACGAATTACTTTGACGACTTTGTTCTCCTCGCATTGAGCGGTGACAGGAGTTCATGTGGGTATACCTTTGATGAGGTCATGAAACTGTTGGGTTGGAAGCTGTCATCAGACAAGACTACGGAGTGGAGCACAAGTTTCGAAGCTTTGGGCGTTTTGTTTGAGCTGGACCAAACAGGGACAGGGGTCCTGAAAGTTAAGAACACCGAACGAAGGCGTCGAGAGTTGGTCACAGCCATCAGAGGTCACCTGGAGAATGGTTTGATGGGTCAGAAGGAGGCCCTGCAACTGAGGGGCCGATTACAGTTTGCACAAGCTCAGTTCTTCGGAAGGTTAGGCAGGAGGTGTCTGGTTGAGATCACGAGACATGCCTATGGTGGGAGGCGGAAAATTCCGGGATACACTAAAGACCTTTTGGAAGAGTTCTGCAAGTTCTTAGACGCTGCTCAGCCCAGGCTAGTGGGACAGGTGTCGTGCAGATCGTTTATGATACTCACCGATGCAGCCTTCGAAACCGAGACAAGGTCTGGTGGATTAGGTGGTGTGCTCCTTACGGGGAGTGGGACAGCGCTGTCATTCTTCAGTGTTCCGATCTCGGAAATCCAGACTCAAGTGCTATCTATGGAGGATGAGCAAACTATTATCTATGAGCTGGAAATGCTTGGGGTTTTGGTTGGTTTGAAGTTGCTAACAGGCCAGACTGCAGCCTTTGCTGAATCGTATTCCCAGCATGGAGCGACTGCTGGAACTGGGGTAATCGTCTACCTCGACAATGATGCGGCCCGACACGCCTACATCTCGGGATCTGCTAAGAAAGGAGTTGCTGGAATGTTGGTGGATGAAGCAAACTTCCTGGAATATGTTCACGGATTTCTACCGTGGTATGCAAGAGTTGCCTCCCCAGCGAATCTTGCAGATCAACCTTCAAGGTTCCAACTTGATTTGGTTAGGAAGTTAGGATTCAAGGACGAATCGCATGAAGCGAGGAGGATCGTTTCGGCAATTGTGAAGAGGGCCTCGAAACTGAAGGTTTGACACATGGCTCAGGTGAATGGGGAAAGGAGCCCTGTGTCTCACAGGACATTTCGAGACTCAACAACAGTCTTGGGTCTTACAGGAGGGATCGAGATCCAACCAGCCGTGCTCGGTACTGTTTCCCCACAACGTGAAAAGATTCGAACGAGAGCGAGTGATGTGAGCAGAATGCATGTTGCTTGATGAAGATTGTGTCATGCTTGAAGTGTTCAAACACGACATGACATTTCATAACAAGCACGGTTTTGAACAATAAGTATCGTTCTTCGAATGCCTGGAGAAGATAGAGCTTTATTGTTCAAAGGAAACAACATCAAAATGTTGTGGTGAACAAAACATTTGCTTGTTGTTTCAGTGCTTGCCTTTTTGCACAACTTATTTCCAACGCTTGATCAGTTTTATGCTTGTTCATGCAGGATTTGTATTTACTTATACACCCGTCGCAGCGGGACCTCTCAGAGGGCAGGATGCCCGGAAAGTGCTCTTAGAAGCTGATAGATTGTTTTCGAAAAACCCACCCTCGCCGCCCTTGTAATCTAATGTAAACGTTTTCGCAACCACGTCAGGAGAGGACTCGTGTGCATACGAAGTCTCCGGTAAGGGACCAGGCAGCTCAATGAGCGTGTGCAATAAGGAACCCTTGTTAGTGCGGGCCTTACTTCATGTGGTGACAGTTCCGCTTATTTGCTTGACGCATAAAGGCTCGAGTCTTGCTCTTTTCATCGCTGTACTTTTCTCAGCACTCTTCATGGCGCGGTCGTTGACGCGCGATCAGCTAAACGATTTTCGGGTGTGGCTTCACTCTTTGAATATGGATTCCCTCATGAAGGTGGCTGAGGTATTGGACGACCTCATGGCAGACCGTGAGATGCGGCAACAGGAGGCTGTTGCAGCTCGTCAGTCTCAGTGGCAGTTTGTGAACCCTGCACCTGACTTGGAGCAACCAAGTGAAGCTGCCTCGTCAAGCTCTCAGAGACAGCCAGAAACTTCTTGAACTGTCGTTCTGAACCACATGGATATCCTGTTCAGGCCGTCACACTTAGGCCGAACCTGTGAGAGGCCGTGAGTTAGCTGTATTTTCCTCTCGAAGGGGAAAGGAGCCCCGTGTCTCACAGGACATTTCGAGACTCAACAACAGTCTTGGGTCTTACAGGAGGGATCGAGATCCAACCAGCCGTGCTCGGTACTGTTTCCCCACAACGTGAAAAGATTCGAACGAGAGCGAGTGATGTGAGCAGAATGCATGTTGCTTGATGAAGATTGTGTCATGCTTGAAGTGTTCAAACACGACATGACATTTCATAACAAGCACGGTTTTGAACAATAACAATGATGATGCTCGCAAAGCAGCCGAGTCGTGGATGGCATTGCTGGCAGACACTCCCTTCATCTTCAGCCTTCGCTCACCTCCTGTGCTGCCCTTAGTCGCTGAGGCTGACGCGTTTGCTGATGATCTGGGGTGTGGTTTAGGAGGTTACGTCACCTGGTATTCGGGTGTTTCTAGGTGGTTCTCCTTGCACTGGTCTGCCTCTGTGGCTGCTGAACATCTGTCTCTCTTCTCTGCTCCTTTGCAGGCCCACATATCAGCCTTGGAGCTGCTGGCCCAATTGCTTCTCCTGTGGTGCATACACGATACGCTTCCCTCTTGCCGAGGACCACTTCGTGTTTGCCTTCGTTCTGACAACTCGGGAGCTGAAGCAGTTGCCGAGAAAAAACTTAGCTCTGTGCCAGCTCTTGCAGCTGTCCTCTCTTGCTTCATGTGCTTTCAACGCTGGTCCGGCCTTTGTGCTGACATTGAGCACATTCCTGGATATCGCAGTCCGCTGCCACTTGCTGACCGCTGTCAGCCTCCCGTGGCTCACTTACTTCGACCTCAAGGCCGCGCTCTCTTGTTTCCCTGTTCAACTTTGTTACATGTAGCATGCCCCGTTTTCACATGACAGTTTTTGGTCTCGTTTTCACCTAGCTTGAGCAACGACTCTTTGCATTCATAAGGCTCAGATTTGGAGTGGAAAAGTGAGTTTTCTGTTCATCGTAGCGGAGCGCCTGGACAGCCAGGGCTCCTACACGTTTTCGGTTTTGGTGAGGGCTGAGTTCAGGGGCCAGTGTGCGGAAAGTTGCGTTCTGCTGTTCAGGGAAAAGGGACTGTCAGTGGAGCCGTAGCTTGACCTGAGCCATAGCCTCTGCGAGTGCCTGACGGCACAGCTGCTCGAGCAGCAGCCACGTCTACTTGCGAGTCACTTGCCATTTTGAAAGAGAAACTCCTTGAATTTTACTTTGAACAATTGCTTGAAAGGCCTAAACCTGCAAATCGCCGAGATCATAGTTGGGCAAAGAACTTGGAGGTGGTCCGTGAAGCGTGCGAGCATCGGTTGAAGTCCTTGAACACTGTAGACGAGGTTTTGCAGTTTGGGTCTAGGTGCATCAAGAACACAAGCCTGCGAGAAGCCTTTATCTGGCACGGCTGTGAAGCAGTCTGGGAGGCTGCTGTCCCTTGGCATTTGCAAGAATCTGCAGTTCAGCCTGCCGCTGAGCACCCTAACTTCGAGCGTGACATTGCTCTGTTCGAGCAGTCCCTGTCAGAGGAGCGCCCCACCAAATTCCAGCGTTGTCTGCGCCTTGCAGACGATCCCTTTGAGCTTGAGCCCAATCCTGAGAGTGTGTCAGAGCCTAGTGCAAAGAGAAGGTCCTTTGAAGGGCGTTTGTGCCCTGCAGAAGAGCCTATCGACCTGACGTCTGAGTCTGAAGCTGAGCACCATGGCGGAACAGGTGCCAGTGCAGCCCGATGATTCTGATGAAGAGCTTGATCCTGCCCAGTTTGTCGGAGGTGCCAATCCGTTTTCTCCGACAAGTCCCACTTCACTTCAGGACCAGATGATGTTGATGATGCAGCAGATGACAGAAGCCACTCGTGCTGCCTCCCAAGCAGCAGTTGCAGCCATGAGTGCTGCAGGAGCCAGAGCTTCCTCCAGCTCCAACACCACCGGGTTCTCCGACGCAAGCAAAATCTTGAGTAAGCCCCCGGAATTCGGTAGCAACAATCATGATCAGGATTTAATGGCTTGGGAAGAGTGGGTTCATACGTTTAAAAGTTGGCTAGTGTTCGCCAATGGCAGTTTCGAACGTGAACTGAAAGTGGTTGAGGACAATCCCCAAGATCCTATCGTGATGAGCACGTTGCCGCCCGACACCGCATCTCGATCGAATCAGCTTTATGCCATCTTCACAAGCCTGCTTCGGGGAAAACCGAAGACACTTCTTCGGGAAGTGACTGAGCGAAACGGCCTGGAGGCTTTCCGACGCCTCTTGGGCATCTACGCCCCGAAGTCAAAGGCTCGCAGCTTGGGCCTGCTCAATGCCTTGGTATCTATGCCTGCATTCGTGAAAGAGCGTTCCCTCAGAGAACAGATCAACAATCTTGAGAGAATCGCCACCGAATACCGAAGAGTCACAGGACGTTCGGTGGGCGATGACGTCCTTCTCGGGACTCTGCTTCGGTGTTTGCCCCAGCGTATCCGTCAACACATACAGCTCCAAATGGACGAAAGCGCGAGCTTTGACAGTGTTCGAGCATACGTGCTGAGTTATGAGATCAGCACTACTCCTTGGACCACTACTGCCGTGCACCAAGCCCTTGGTGTTGCTCCTTCTGGTCAGTCAGCAGCGCAAGATCCAGTCCCGATGGAGGTCGATGCTGTCACGTGGTGGAAAGGCGGCAAGAAAGGAGGAAAAGGCAAAGGAAAAGGGAAGGAACATGACAAAGGAAAAGGCAAAGGCAAGCATCAACAGCCTTGGCAACCATGGCAGAGCAAAGGGCAGCATGCCCACCACAAAGACAAGCCAAAAGGAAAGGACAAAGGAAAAGGCAAAGGAAAAGGAAAGGAGCACCAGAATGATGGCAAAAGCGGTAAATCCAAGAACATCGTGTGTTGGTTCTGCGGGAAGACAGGCCATGCCCAGCGTGAATGCTACAAGAACCCTAATCGTGTGAATTATGTGGAGCAGACTGCCAGCAATCCTGCAGGCAGTGCCACCGCGTCGCAGCCCCCGGCAAGCGTTGCAGAGTCATCTGTTTCGACTGCTGTCAGGCGAGTTGAACTGGATGCCAGTGATTGTGTGTTCGACTTCAGTGCGATGTTTTCCAATGATGAAGCCACGGTGAGGAGTGTTGTGCTTGAGCGCATGCACATGCAGCTGCCTCCTGAGCGTGTGAGTGCTTGTGATGCTGTTGTGAAAACCCATTGTCAGCATTTGCCCAGCACGCCTGTTGAGCAGTTCGACATGTCGTACAGTGATGGTGATGCAAACTGGACCTGCACTGAATGGAGGCCCAGTCCTGATGGCTTCGTGGAGTTCCCATGCACTGGGATGCAGTGCCTCGATGAATCCCTTCGTGCCAGCGATGATGCAGTCCTTGCCGGGATCCCTCAATCGCCTGAAGCCCTGATTTCGAGTGTTCGAGCAGTCGTGCATGAGGTCTCGACTGTCCAACCTACACCTGTTGAAGTGATCATGGATAGTGGTGCTGATGTGAGCTGCCTGCCCATGGCATTTGGCCACAAAGGTTCCAAAGGTAGAGGTGCCGAGAGCATGTCAGTGCGTGATGCGCAAGGAGGCGCTCTCCCTGTCAAGCAATGCAGAGATGTGGAGTTTGTTGTTGTGGCCCGAGATGGTCGTGAGATCACTTGGAAGGAACGCTGTGTGGTGACACCGGTCACCCAGCCCTTGCTCTCGATGGGCAAGTTCATGCGTGGAGGTTGGTTCCCCGTTTGGAGTGATAACCACATGTACATCAGGCATGATGCATCAGGCATTGAGGTTCCAATGTCGTTCAAAGGCAATAGCTTGAAAGTTGATGCTGTGCTGCGTCGCGTTGCAGACGACGATGGGGACGATGGCTTGGAGTCCGAGGCACAGGTGAGGTTCACCAGTGCGGTCCCTAGCCAGGAGTTGGTCGATGCCAGCTTCGGTTGGCAAACACTTGAGAGCACGGGACACTTTGTGTGGAGAGGGGTCAGTGACAGGTTCATCGATCCTTCTTTGTTGGTGCCTATCACGTGGCCCAATCGCAGCACATTGGTGAAGCTTGATGAAGGCTGGAAGTTGCTTGAATGGTGTGTTCCGTGGAGACAACTGAGCGATGAGACCGCTGAGTTTCCGTGTGGAGAGTGCGAATGCATAACCATCTTGAGCACAGGTGAAGAAGATCCTGATGTGTTTGGCGTCAAGGTAGATGCCCTTGAGAGTCATGTGCAAGAGAGTGGACGCCAGCCGGTTGGAGGTGTTGGCCTCGAACCCGACGAACTTCCTGATGCCCCGATGGGAGTTGAGCCTGAAGAGTTTGCTCCTGAACCACCTCGGCCGGTGGCTGATACCATCGAGGTTCCTGTTGCGCCTGCTGTGGGAGATCATGTGGTCACTGTAGATGGTGTCGGTTTGAGCATGAGCAGCACGCTTGCGGCATTGCGTGCAGGATGCGAAAGGCTAGGCTTGAGCAAGTCGGGATCCAAGCAGCGGTGTTTCGACCGCATGAAGGGATACCTCCAGAAAGAAAAGCTGGCGGCTGAGCTTGAGGTCGCTGAAAGAAGTCAAGATGTTGTGTCCCGAGAGCCTCGCATGCAGTTCGAGCCCAAACCACCGAGCGATGAGGCCCGCACATTGCACGAGGTCACCCATTTGCCGTTTGCAAATTGGTGCAAACACTGCACCATGATGAAGGCTGTTCCCGATCAACATCGAACACTGGTGGAAGGCAGTGCCCGTGAATATCCCACAATCAGCTTCGATTTGTGCTACACAGGCTATGATGCTGAAGGAAAATGTGCCCGTGAAGATTCGCCCGTGAAGATTCGCCCGACAAGGACAAGCTTACGTGTTTGATTGTGCACTGTAGTCACACTGACTACATCCTTGCTGTGCCCCTTCCGGACAAGTCATCGCAAAGCATGAAGTCTGCAGCTGTGGAGGTTGTCCGGCTGTGCCAACTGCTCGGACACACGGAAGTTGAACTTCGCTGTGATCAGGAGCCGTCCATGTTGCAGCTGCAGGGTTTAGCAATGAATGCTAGGAAACGGTTGGGTTTTAAGACAAGGATCCGGAACCCTCCGGTTGGAGCACACCAGGCAAACGGCTGTGTCGAGAAGGCAGTTGATGTCATCCGTGGTCTTGCAAATGTCATGCTTTCCATGTGCCGTGAGAAGCTGGGTGTCGAGATCCCCGTGAATCATCCGCTGTTCGGGTGGTCCTTTCTTCATGCGTCGTGGACCTACTCGAGGTTCAAGGTCAAGGGAGGTCTGACAGCATATGAACGATGCACAGGTTCACGCTACAACGGCAAACTGGTGCCGTTTGGTGAGCCGGTATATGCGTATGTGCGCCCATCTCAGAAAGGGAACCCTCGTTGGAGCATGAGCATGTTTCTGTCGAAATCGCCGGTGAACGACATGTTCATCGTAGGTACAGCCAATGGAGTGATGCTCACCAAGTCTGTACGCCGGACGGGCCAGCCGTGGGCCCTGGAAGCCAAGCTTGCAAATGAGGTCAAAGGCATGCCCTGGGATTATAGTTTGGGTACCCTAGGCACTAAGACGGTTCCCCAAGCTAAGGCCCGTGCACCGAATGCTGTGGCCGCGCCGTTGGTGCCACCGATTCCGGAGCTCATGCCGCCCCCAGGCGGATTGCCCCGACAGGCTAAGACAGCCCATAATGAGCCCATAATCCCCGAGGTAGTTCCACAGATACAACCAGCATCGGTGACATCGTCAGTTCCAGGTTCGCGCAAAACTTTGTTGCTTGATCGTGATGACAGTCGTGCGTCAGTAACACCTGTGAGTCCCATTGTTCCAGCACTTCCTGGCCCGGCCACCTCAAGCAGTACAGAGCCCAATCTTCTCCCAGACTCCAGCATGCTGTCTGAGTTGTTGCCGAAGAGGTCGGCGGGGCAGGAGCTCGGCGGGGATGCAGCCTCGTCCCAACCTGCAAAGGTTCCCAGAATCCGTCGCGTGCTTGATGAAGAGTTTGCTGTCAATGACGAAGAGACTGAGCAAGCCGAAGAATGGTCTGATCCCAAGGTCCATGGGGAATGGATCGACGATGTGTATGAGGAAGGCCAATCCCACGAGGTACTCAGTGATGAACCCGAGTCCGGCATAGCAGGTGCGTTGTCAAAGCAGAAGCTCAAAGATCTGGAGTCACGCCTGTGGTTCCCAGTTGAGCCTGACTTAGATGCCGATGAGCTGCGTGCGCTTGATGCGATTTCCGATGAGTATGAGGTCCAGCGGCTCATCAGGAAAGGGGTCCTTCGGCAATCGAACGTGAAAGGCCAGAGCAGAGAGCCTGATGTGAAACGTCTGAGCACGAAGTTTGTTCGAACATGGAGGTCCAAGACAAAGGATGGCGTTCCGATGGTGCTAAGGCGTTCGCGGTTGTGTGCTCGGGAGTATAGGTGGCTAGAAATGGACCGTGAGGACATCTTTGCGCCTGCCACCAATGCAGCCGTGACAAGGCTCCTGCCTTGGTTGTTTGCCAGCAAGAGAAAGGTCTCCGAAGGTGAGTATGGAATGCTAGTTCTTGACGTGAAGGATGCATACCTCACCGTTCCTCAAGGCGAAAGGGTCATAGCCTCAATGCCGTCTGACTATGCAAGCGAGTTCGAGTACGAGTTCGACCGTTGCATACCAGGTCAACGTGACGGGGCGATCAAGTGGCATTTGCACTTCCTTTCATTCGTGCGGAAACACCTGAAAGTCACTGTGTGCCCTGCATGCCCGGCATTGTGGATTGTGGAAGACAGCAAGTTGCTGATACACGTCGACGACATGTTCATCGTAGGGAAAATCTCTTTCTTGCGTGACCGTTTCCTTCCTCTCATCGAGAGCGAGTTTGAGGTGACATGGACCCTAGCAGCACATGAGGGAGAAAGTGTGAATTTCCTGAAGCGCAAGCACTTGATCACCAGTGAGGGTGTTGTCATCCAGTCACAGTCCGACCTCTTTCACAAGCTTTGCAAAGTGGTTGATGTTGGCCCAAAGAAAACCTCAAGAACGCCATGCACAAAGGAGTTGCTGAAGCCCTCAGACTCTCCACTGCTTGATGCAGAGCATGCATCAAGGTTTAGGACTGCCATAGGCATAGCCATGTATTGCAGTGCTGATCGTGGCGACTGTGCGTTCGTCATCCGGTCCTTAGCCCAGCGCTTGCGAGAGCCAACACAAGCAGATTGGCGGGCTGTGCAGAAACTTGCATCGTACTTGCGAGGTACTGAAGGCTATGCCATCCATCTTGTTCCACAGCATGTGGGTGCATCTGTGTTGCATCGTGGCTATGGCAACGATGAGTGTCAAGGCCATTTGCTTGAAGCTTTCAGTGATGCTGACTGGAGCGGTAGCCAATTCAGCCGCCGGTCAATGAGTGGAGCGGTGTTCTATCTTGATGGAGCGGCAATCTTCAGCACATGCAGGGGACAGAAAGTTGTCAGTTTGTCATCTTGTGAATCAGAATGGTATGCTGCGGTATCTGCCAGTTGCGATTTGCTTTTCATCAAGCAATGCCTCGAAGCCATACTTCCCGATCCCATCCAGGCCGTGGTGCGTTTGGACAATTCCGCAGCAAGGCAATTGGCCCATCGTCAGGGCCCTTCCAATAGGACTCGTCACATCGATGCCAGACTGTTTTGGGTGCAAGAACGTGTTCAGGCGAAAGAGCTGTTGTGCCGGCCAGTCTCAGGCTTGTGCAACCCATCCGACATATCCACCAAAGTCTTGTCGGAGAAGCGCTTGAAAGGATTGCTAGGTGCCCAGAATGTCGTGGACATGAGCAACAGCATGGAATCTGTGGGTGAACATGAGTGGCATGAGATTCTTGAAGAAGTTGCTACGAATGTGCACTTGAGGAAAGTGAGCAAACAGTTCCGATCGAAATGTGTCAAGAGCAAGGCCTTCGTTCGCATTGCCGTGATGTCCCTGATGCTTGCAGGGTGTGATGCAGCGGAGGCAACCGAGAGCAGCTCACCGTGGATCGTGGTCACTGATCATTCGAACATGTGGAAGTGGTACATGCTTGTGGCATTTTGCCTGGGAATGGTTGCAGTGTGTTTCCAAACTACGAGCCTTGAGCTGTGGCATCGAAATGAAGAACAGAACAAGCAGAAGATCGAATGGACTTGGTTTTCAGCCGTGAATGGCGTGAGTGCAAGGATGTGGTATACGTTCAGTGCTCTGGATAGCCTTCCGCTTGCGGATAATATTTTCTACCGTCAACTAAACAGGCTCGTTTTAAGAGCCGGGGTTTTCTCCGAATGATTTTAATGTTTCCTTTCCCGTTGAAAGTTTGTTACCAAAGTGTATAAAAACTTGGGAACCGTTGTTTGCATGCAGACCAGAGTCATGTTCTTGCTTGACATACATGAGTTTTCAGAGCATGCAGAATTGTTTGTATTTGGTCGCAAAGGCTCAAACACGGAACCGTTCACAATTTTTGATGAACCGAGGGTTCATGGATGTTCGACTCCTCTGAGGAATCTGCCACTGATTCTTCCTTGAGCTGGGATTGGGCGCCAGTTCCCCGAGCCCCGCCTTTTCAACCTGTGCGAATCCTTCCGAGACGCTTTCATTTGCAGCTGCTTCAGAGACGCGCGGGGGCGGCCCCGCATTTGTTTTCCTACGTTCTTGAAGCTTCCTTTGCAGGCGTACTCATCAGCACATCAGAGGGGTCGCGCATCTTCTTGTTCCTGACCGAGGCAGATTGGAGGGCCGTGGCCACCGCTGGACATCGATCCCACGCGTGCGCCCGGCAGCTTCTGGGCCTTTCCGCATAGCTTCGACCTCCCGGCACCATGCTAGGGGGTGAGTCGGGGTGCCTGGAAGAGACTGACCTGACAGAGCCTGACCTACCTCTCCTCGACGCGCAGGAGGTGCTTTTAGATCCTGGCTCGAGTTTCCTAAGCGAACCACCCTTTCCTTTGCCGGAATCAGGAGGTCTTGGTTTGTCTGATCCGGAAGATGCAATTGGGGAGGTCTCTGAAAAGGATTTTGAGCTTTCTTCCCAAGGGCAACCTGAGCAGCTTGATGGTGAGGTGCAATGGTATAACATGGTGCGTGATGAACCTCCTCAGTCGGATGTGGGTGCAGTTTGTACGAGTCCCCCTTTAGAGGATCGTCAGAGTCGTCTTCCTGATCTCGATCATATGCCCTCTTTTTCGTGTGATCAGCACATCCTGGCCATGCAAGAGACGGCCATGCTTTTCTGCATTAAGAAAGCCAGGGTTGAACGACCGCGTCAGCCATGGGAGAGTGGACCTTTCGGGGAGGTCTTCGGAAATTTCTCTGATCGGAATTCTCATGAAGAGTGGCTCTGGGCAAATGCTTTCTCTGAGGTTGGACTGCAGGAGTCCTTGGATCCTCCGAGGGCTGCGCCGTCCTTACCCACTTCGGATGAGGGCCTTTCTTGGGTCGTGGAAAAGAGGCTCCAGCACTTCCGCCTTGAGAAGTCTGATGAAGATCTGAGAAATCACGCAGTTAACAGACTCCGCAGTCTTGTAATGCTTGACCCCCTGGCTTCAAAGTTGGGATGCACCCTGGCGACTGACATTCGTAACTTGGCCTCGGAAGAGGACATTGCTTCGGCCTTTGACCACGTGTTCGTAATGAAGGCCGCCAGCACCATATACAAGAGGTCTTGTTCGCTGGGAAAGTTTGCAAGTTGGCTGATGGGCCGTAGTGGTTCCCCTTTGAGGTTCTCCGAGTCACAGCTCTACCAGTATCTGAAACACTTGGAGAAGAACGCGGGGGCTACTGCTGGTACTCATTTGCTCGAGGCAATTCGCTTCCTAGACGGCTTGGTGAAGCTTAACTTTGTAGACGTTGAGGAGGTGGTTTCTTCGCGTTGCCGAGGGCTAGCAAGACAGATGCATCTTGGCAAGCGCCCGCTGTGTCAGAAACAGGAGCTGACGGCTGGGCAAGTTGAGGTTTTGGAGCGGTTCATGATGAGGTGTTCTACACGCCATGGGTGCATTGCGGGGCAATTGTTGTTTTGCTTCCATGCTGGATCACGGTGGCGTGACTCTCAAACACTGCAGAGGATATTTGTGACGGTGGATGAGGACTCGGGATTTGAGCTTCTTCAGGGTGAGGCCCTTACTTCGAAAACCACCTATTCCCTTTCAGCGAAGTGCACTCTCTTGCCTTATGCGGCCATTGGTCTGGGGCTATCCGGAGTGCCTTGGGCCCGCAGGTGGATCACTGCCAGGAAGGCTGAAAACCTAGTGGATGGAACTCCTTTCCTCATACTTGCACTCCTGATGAAGATGGCTTCGATATGTAGCGTAGGCTTGGTTAACTCAGGCCAAATGTTTTCTTTTCTGACCCCATAGATCGAGTCATAGAGCAAAATAGATTCTCCGCTGTGTTCTTTAGCATGATGCAGCACCATGTAGTGTGCTTGGCTTTCGGATCATGCAAGACGATAGCAAGCACGTTGTACAAGTGCTGCACCTTCCTGACGTCATCTTCCGCTTTGCAAACTTGCTTGAAAGCACTCCGTTGCACTTTATGGGTGAGAATGCAGAAGAAGGAGGGCAACCTCTTAATCTCAAGCTTGCACACCTCGGTACGTGGGCTAAGATTCTGCTGAAGATAAGAAATAGCAAGATCAACAAGTTGGCCAAGGTCAGGGAGAATGCTGTGCTGTTCGGAAGAATCTTGCTCTGAGAGAAGAGGAAGTGCAACAACCGGTTGCGGCTGTTGGCATCTTGAGCACTTGCATTCGATTTGCAGGAGAAGGCTAAATTGAGTATTTGCCGGAATTGCTGCAATGGCTTTGGCGTAAACGTCAGTGAAGCTTTGAAGCTCCAAAGACTCCAAAGGTGTATTATTTGCCAAATCAAGGTAGACCTGACCAAGGATATGATCAAGCTTTGCTCTTGCAGTTTCTCCGACATTGTAGCCCATCGCAGCCAGCACTAGGGCAGCTTGTTTGGGAAAAGGAGCATAGTGCTGACTGTTTTCTTTGCTCCATTGTGCAGAAGCAATTATGCGGTAAGCCGCAGCAACAGGGCAATATAGTCCTGCAATACATCGTTGCACTTGTTCTTGAACGTTAGCTGGAACTTCAGGTTGAAACCTTAAGGACGTGTTTCGTCTTCGAACAGTCTCGAGTTGCCCTTTGTCAGCCTCATTGCCCCTTTTGTTGGAACTTTCAGCACCTTTAGCTAAGGACTGTGCTTCCTGAATTTTCTTGTCTTGGGACTCACTTCCTGTTCCGGCATGACAGACCGTGGCTGATGTAAGCAAAGTCGGACGCTGGGCAGTGTCCGATTGCTCAATACTAACATCTTGTTGGTCTGATTTCCGGTTATTAATTGGAGGGGTGCTATTATGGCCAACCTTGAGGTCCGCTTTAGGGTTACTTTTTGCACAGAGATCGAATGCGTAGATGTCGCTCGGTTTGGCTTCAATTAATTTCAAGATGTCACATGAGTGACATCGTGGAAGAAAAAGAAGCGCTCCTTGATGCAGCGACAGAATGACGTTGCTGTTCACTGATGTCCCAGGATGACAGACAAGGTGGTGCCCATTCCTGAGGATCAAGGGGATCTCAAGTTCAGTTTTACCAACAATTCGAACAAGGAGATATTGGATAATCCCCTGTTCAGCAGTAAAATCTTCGTCATTCTGGCAGACCTTAGGCAAGTGATCAGGTATTACCCAATCTTGGAAGATAGAGTTCTGCCGCAGGAAAGCCTGGAGGCTTTGCAACTTCTGAAGCTCTGGTATATCTTCACACTTGCCAGTCATGACCACATAGGGTGCTTGTTTGTCAAGGATGAAGAAGTGAGTTTCAAGGTCATCTTTGTGCCATACGATACTGGCCATTCTCTGTTTGGTGACAGGCTGATATTCATCCCTTGCTCTGACATGAATCAACCTTCCTTGCCCAACTTTATCATTCCCAGAGTGGCAATTCAGGAAGTGTTCCCTGGGGTTCTCTGATATATGATTAATGGGTTTGCTGACCCATTTTGGTGCATCAACAACCTCTTGAAGCAATTGAACAGTTGCTCTGCCACATGGGAGATCAAGGTATTGATTATGAACAAGCATGTCAGCAATGGAGGCATGCGCAACCACATGCGCAGCAGGTACAATGACTTCGTCTCCAATTTGAACATGTACGATACCTTGATATTGGACAGGCAGCGCAATCTGCTTGAGATACTCCTGGATCTCCTGCGGGTTCCACGTACAATCCTGGAAAGTAATCTGCAGAGAGACATCAGAAGTGTTACTGGGGGCAGTTACCTTCCAGGCAAAGATCTCCTGCGAAGATTTAACCCCGATGATGTGGAACCTTGCCGCCTGTAGCGCAAGCTCATCTGGGATCGCTAGCTGTTTCTGGCGGAGCTCCAGTGTAACTTTCTGAAGTTGATAAGGATCCACAAAGATCCTGACGTACTTTCCAGGGGCAGAATGAAAGGCAATCATGAGCCTATGCTGATTAAGGATACAATGTATCCTAAAGGCTTCATCTTTTTGCTTCTTAGAGCTGATGGAATACGGAAGATCAACAAAGTTAATGCTGTTGCCGGGCAATCCTTCCAGAGGAGCAAAACGATACCAGATTTGAAGCTCAATCTGTGACTTCTCCTCCGTCCGTTTTAGCACTTGGTCATGAAGTTCTTCAATCTTGAACATCAATGCTTGGAGCTGCAGGATACTGATTCTTTTGGCTCTAAGACAGACGGAGCATCTATTGTCCTTGTCAGTCAACTCCACGATAGGATGCTGCGCCTTCCTGACGTAGGCTAGTCCGAAGGTCTTGATAAGGAGATCAACTTCTCCATCAAAGGTGCCAACAGTACCTGCAATAATGACCTCTGTGCTGCTGAGCTCCGGTCGCATGGTGGGCGTGATGGTAAGAGGTATGAGTCGGATTTTGACAAAATCCGACGTAAGTGACCAAATAAACCAACTCTCGCTTGTTTTCAACTTCAATAGCTCCAATAACAGTGAGCCCGCAAACTTGATGCAAGAACTCTCTGTCATAGTTTCGAAAGAGCACACAAGGTAGATCCGAGACTGACAGAGAGCTGTGCAAGTTGCTCACTATCGTAATACTCGCCTGTGGCGTGACGTTTTTCTTCAAGTTTTGAAGAAAGTTCTTGCTAGGATTTACTAGCAAGACCGACTGGAGCTCTGTTCCTTGCACCTGTCGCAATTCTTGCAACACATCACCTTCAACAGCCAACGCTTCCACAATTCAGAGCTTGGATTTGAAGTGGAAGGCAACCGCCCACTCCCGGCATGGATACCTTCACCTCGCTTTCAGCACGTTGCCTTGGTGCGCATGGCGGAAGCAGCGCCGGCGCGTCCAAGCCTAGACCACGCCTCTGATCGCGATTTTGTAGAAGGGATGGAAGTCCGCAGCTGAAGGTTTGGCTTTGCTTGGAACCCTACTTGAAGGTAGAGGCCCCCTCTGGGATAGCCCAGAGGCGTAGGTATGCTGGGTTCTGTCTTTGCTTTCTGCTGGAGCTGCAGCATTGTGCAATTTCTTGCCAGCGCCGGATTACACTTGGCAAGCAGCACTGCAACAAGCCTTTTTGTCAACTGTGCCGCACAGTTAATCTCTCGTTACATGAATTCCTTTTAACGATTGGAAACGCCCGTTTCCAATCTTCTTTGTTGGTCCTTTGTCTGTTGGGAACGCCCGTTTCCTTCCGCAGGTACACTCTCTCTTAGGCTCTTGTTTTGTTGGGAACGCCCGTTCCCTTCCGCAAGTACATGCTTTGGTTCTTGTGCGTCTGTGCAGTACGGATAGCTTAGGCGTAAGGTATCTGCGCTATGTAGCAAGAACGAATTAGTCTTATCGATGGCAGTGCGTTTCAGTGCTACGCTGACTTTATGTCAGGCCATCTTACTGAGTTTGATGCCCTCTTTGCCAGAAGCATTTAGTCGAGTATCTTCGGGATGGCTGCATCGTGTTTACCGCAAACTATTACCCCTTGCTGCACTTGCCCTTGACGCGGAAGTCTTGCATTTCGGATGTTGCAGCGGAGTCCTTGCTGGCCACAGACTTTCCTGCGCGGTCGATGTTTTCCATGTTTTCTTCAACCATGTCAGTAACACCCAAGATAACACTTGCCTGGTCTGCTACATCAGTGCAGCAGGTCGGTCTTGTGGGGCTTGCAACTGGGTGTGAAACAGAAGAACGTTTGAACAACATTTTGCTCCCCATGGAAGCGGTCCAAGCTGCACGACGAGCTTTGGTGCTGAGCGCGTAGATCTTCTTGGTAGCTTCGTCGCCTCCGCTGTTGGTTGTTGTTTTGCTTTTTGTTGGCTGAACTGAAGAGAGGAAGGTCTGCAGCAACTCGAGGTTTGCGCACAGGCGCAGGGGTGGGAGTCCGTTGCTGAAGGTCTGGCTTTGCTTGGAACCCTACTGCACAGCTTTGGATTGCCCTTGTGTTGACAATTGCAAGCTTTGGCTCACACTTTGCCTTGGCACAACTCATTCTTGTTGGGAACGCCCGCTCCCAACCTTGACCTACAGGTGCGATTGCGTTCTCTGCGGCTGCTCAAGCATGAACTTTGTGCCCCAGGTCTTGGGTTTCATCCATTCGGGGGTGTCTTCCAACTGGTGGGGTCTTTGGTGTCCTGCTCACTGCTCTGGATCCACCGCCCTCTTGGCTTTCTCCTTTGCCTCGGGCACTCTTTTTGGCATTCTTCTTGCTCTTTACTTCTTCCGTGCCTCACTCTTTCTGCCGAGCCCTGCAGCTGCATTTCCCAGGCCTGAGACTTCCCGCGCTGAGGCCCCCTCGCAGGCCTCTACTCCTCTCCGTTTGCGCAAGTACTTGCATGGGCCAGAGTGAGCTCTCACGAGCATTTGAGCACTTTTCCGAGGCTTTGAGGTTACTGCTGTTTCGGCGCCAGCCGGTGCTTTTCCTGCTGCACAGGGTTCCCTTCATCCCCCTAGCCCTAGTGGTTCTGTTGGGATATAGTAGGCCCTATTGCAAGCCGTGAGCTCGGGTCCCGTGGAGCTCCGGCGCCCCCTCCACGCACCACAGCACCTCATCCCGCCTCGTTACAAGGAAGTTGAGGCTTCTTTCCCTGCCGCGCTTGCTCATTGCATTGTTCTTCGTGCCCCTGGCCCTGACTCACCCGTTCGGTCCCCGAACGCCGTCGCATTCAGGAGAATCGTGGGCGCACAGGAAGACTCAGACATCTTGTGCCACGCAGCCGGCTTGCCATTTCCGCTCGAGCAACCATGGATGCCACTCTCTTGCCTTCCCTCGCCGAGGGCCAGTTGAACCTTCACCTTCTCCGCTGGACGGGGGAAGGAAAATCCTCCCTTTTGGAGGCTGCGTACGCTGTGCCGGTGCTTTCCCGGAGCGAGGGGGTCATTCTTGCAATTCCTCCCGGCTTCCTGGCTCCAACCCTTTTAGGGCATACCGCTCACGAAGACAGCCTTGTGGGGCCCTCAAAGCTTCTGACCGTACCATTTGCCGTGACGGACGAACTGGGAGCAGAGAGCCTGCTCGGCATAGATGCGCAAGTCCTTGTGTGCGACTTCGGGTTGGGGTCATAGAGCTTCTTCAGGAATATCGCGAAGAGACGATCTGACAGACTGCCTTTTGTTCTTGGAGGATCACCCAGATGCACTGCCAGTGGGGCCGGCCCTTCTCACTGCCACCAGGGCCTGGATAGCGGGCTGCTGGGGACCGCGTGGCTTTCTACTCTGCAGTGGAGGAGCAAGCCGACCTGGCCCCGAAAGCCAAGGCGAAACAGCAAACCAAGGCCAAGCGCCTCACAACGGCTGCCCTCTGCAGTGACGGACCTGCTCCCCAGATTGGAAAGCAGCTTGCAGCTTTGCAGAAAGGTCAGCAGGATTTGGAGGCCCGCCTTCCTGTATCCATGGAGCTGGCTCAGTTAGGGCCCTCTGCAACTTCTCAGATGCGCTTTCCGAGTGTGCAGCCAAAGCCCCCCCATCAGCAGCCTTTCCAGCTTTCGGGTCTAGGCAAGGGTTTTTCTGTGTCCCCCCAAGCAAACCTCATAGGACCGCCGCCCCGGACGAGGGAACCTCTGGATTTGGGGGCAGGCGTGCCACTTCAGGACGAGCCTGCGGAGCGGGGATATGGGATGCCTCCGGAGTCAGCCGAGTTTCCCAGCATGCAGGCCGCAATCATGCAGCAGACACAGGCGCTTTCTGTCCTCATGTCCCATGTCCTCTCCCAAGCAGACGGAGGCTTAGCCGACCTGGCGTCCGGATCAGGCTCTTCGTCCTCCTTGGCCTCTCGGGGAGCAGCAAAGAGGGAGCGGCTCCAGCAAGCTCTGTCCAGCCGGACAGGGAACTTCTTCCTTCAAGTCATGCAGCAGGTTTCTCGGCGGCTCAATCCTGCAAGCGCAGCGCCCCAGAGCCTTGCAGAGCTGCAAGGCAGCCCGATGATGTGCCGCTACTTGGAGAGATTCGGCGGATACGCCGGCCAAAGGGAGGCAGGATACCTAATGTGGATGCTGGCTCCCCTTGACCATCAGCCGGACACTTGGTTCACAACGAAGGTGTCTTTTGCTACGTGGGCTGGGGGTCTTCTTCGGGGAGTGTTCTGTTCCCGAACCACTTTTGCTTCTTTTTTGAAGTCAACTTTGCATCTGAACAGGCTCGTTCCTGACAAGCCTTCGTGCCGTGCAGCTGGTCTTGTGTTCCCGCTTCCGGTGCCAAGCCCTGGGGCTTTTGAACCTTTTCCTTTGGGTTTGTCTTCCCGGACTAGGAGACGCATACTGCACAGGCGTCTCTTGCACGTCGTTGTTATGGCCCTGAACTTCCTTCACAACGATTTCGTGCCAATACCGCTGGCCCTTTTGCAGCGGCCACCTACCCAGGTGCAGGTTCGCCTCACATCTTCCGTGGGTAGGCTTTTGAAGGCTTTCGGTGCCTCTGTTGGCGAGGAGCTCCTTGTCAGCACAGGCCGCCGCAATCCCCAATTGGTTGCACGCCTTTCTGAGTTGATCTCGTTGTTGACTACCATCAGTCCCAAAGGCTACGATGCAAGGAAGGTGAGAAGGTACCGACTGATCCGTCTGTGCTTCCCGAACTCGAGCCTTACAGGCCCCTTTGTGCTTCAAGGCTGAAGCTTTCTGGCCGCGGCCAGTTTGACGCTCGGCCTTTCCTCAGCCCAAACCTCTACATGGCTTTCTGTGAGCCTGATGCTCTGCTGCACACCGGCATGCCTCCCACTGATGTCTTTGCTGATTGGACCAAAGAGCGGCCCGAAGAGGTCGCGGCCTTGGCCAAGATCTGGGATTCAAAGGGCTTGCTGCATCTTAGGCCCTCCAACGTACCTGCCTCTTTGAGCCATCACGTTTCGCGGGCTTTTAACTGCTACAAAAGCCCAGAAAAGGATCGACAGATCATTGACAGAAGGGGTCGAAACTGGTGTGAAGGAGGCAGGGTTTGCGGCCCATCCGCAATCATCCCGGTAGGGCCCCTGCTGTGCCAACTTGAGGCCCGGCCTAGCCGCGAGACTGTCAGGATTTCAATAACTGACAGGCGTGACTTTTACCATCAGTTTTGGGTGCCAGACCGGCGCGCTGAGACAAACATGCTGGGTCCCGCTCTGCCGCGTAGCATGCTGTTTGGCACGGCTGCACTTGAGAGGTTCGAGGCCCAGCGATGTCCGCGTTCTTCGGGAAAAAGACTGCACGAGGTCAGAAGCGACTTCCTTCACGAGGAGCCTGCTAAGGATCGCTTGGAGCCTTTGTTGTTCAACTCCGACCTCTTGGTGCCTTGCTTCAAGGCCATTGCTCAAGGGGACCATATCGGTGTCGAACTGGCCTCGGATGCGCATGCCTCTTTGCTCGCTAGCCGCTAGCCACGGTCTCCTCGGTGGGGGCGACCGTCTTTGTTCCAACAGGCCTTGCAAAGGCAGCACAGAGGCCCAGGGCCTCATAATCGACGACTTCTTTGTGGCCTCAGTCTGCGATGCTAGCTCCAGCAGTGAGCCGGCGTGCGTTGCCAAGCTGCGCTTGGCAAAGGAAGCATATGCTTTGTACTCCCTCGAAGGCTCCGATGACAAAGACGTGTGGGCGGAGATTGCGTGAGAGTCGCTGGGGCGCAGCTCGACTCTTCGCCCGGCACTCCAGCGCTCGGCCTCATTACTCTGGGAGCCCCTGCCGCGAAGAGGGCGGCTCTCTCTGTGATCAGCCTTGAAGTTGCCAGACTTGCCCACACAACCGATAGTCTGCACTTGTGCCTGCTGGGCAACTGGACTTCCATCTTGCTTTACAGGCGACAGCTCATGTCGGTGCTCGCCAGGAGTTTTGGTCTTGTCCGAGCGTGTCATTGGCCTTCCCAGGTGTGTCGCCCAGGAGTTGGTCCTGCTGGCCATCCTGGCCCCGCTTGCTGTGTCCAATCTTGGCGCCGTCCTGGCAGACAGTCTATACGCCACCGACGCTTCCGAGCAAAAGGGTGCTTTCGTGAGTTCCACCGCGCCCCCCTTTCTGGTCCGGTCACTTTGGCGCACTGGCTCCAAGAAGGGTGGCTACTCTCGCATTTTCTCTCGTGAGGAGGCACTCCTGGCTAAGCACCTTGATCCTGAGCCCTACGATCTTCGCTTGTTGCAGAGCCAGACGTCCGTGAGCCCTAGCCGGCCCCTGGCTTTCAGGTTCGACTTCATTGAGGTTTTCTCCAGTTCTGGTAGGTTGACTGAGGCACTTAGCGCTAAGGGTTGGGTTGTAGGTCCTCCTCTTGACATTGCACGAAGTCCTGCCTATGACCTGCAGAACCTCCGCGTGCTTGACTGGTTGTTGCACATGTTGGAAGGTCGCACCCTCCGCAGCTTGGCCTTGGGGCCCCCTGGCTCCACCTTCTCGTGCGCAGCCTCTCCCAGCTTGAGGTCTGATACTGAGCCTAGGGGTTTCTCGCCGTCTGAGCCACGCACGCTTTTGGGCAACACTTTGGCGCTTCGGGCTCTGACGCTTGTGTTTGTTGCCCTTCGGATGGGCGCCGTTGCCTTGCTTGAGCAGCCCCGGAAGTCCAAGATGGCAAGGCTCAGTGAATGGAAGCGCTTGCTCCTGTTGGGGGCCCGTGAGGTCTTTTTGGCCTCCTGTTCTTTTGGTAGCGTCCACCTGAAGGAGTTTCGATTCCTGGTGGTCAACGCAGATTTCTCCCGTCTGCAGCAGCCGTGCACAAGGAATCATTCCCATGTAAAGATCCAAGGGAAGCATACAGCAGCCTCCTCCGTGTACGTGCCTTTCCTTGCAGATGCCATTGCCCACGAGTTTGACCAAGCACTTAGAGCGCAGGCCCATGTGGCCGCTGCACAAAGCCTAAAGGCTGAAGGCCTTGAAAACTTCGTTGTGAATGATGTTGTGTTGTCTCTGCCGTGGAGGGTTGGGAAGGCATGGGCTTGGAGGGCCATGTCCCACATCAATATCTTGGAGCTCGCCTCGGTCCTCCGCTTGCTGCGCTTCCTGGCCCCTCATGGGTCCCTCCGGATCGTGGTGTTTGTAGACTCTGCTGTTGCACTCCAGGCAGCCTCTAAAGGCCGCAGCCCCTCAAGAGGCTTAACACCCATCCTCCGCAAGGTCGCCGCCGTCTGCTTGGCTGCAGACCTGTATCCAGTCTTCCACTTCTGCCCTACGCGCCTGAATCCCGCTGACTGTCCTACTCGTGACACGCTTTTGCCTCCGCCTTCTGACCATGCAGTGTGGCCCGAGTTGACTATTGATCAGCTCTATGAGGGCCTTGCAGCCACCAAGGTGCGCCGTTGGCTTGCAGACTGGGAGCGACTTGTGTGTCTCCTTGCTGGGCCTCCGCCAGGATTGTCACCTGTGCTTGACTGGCGTGACTTTCGCCACTCATCCCGCCTTTTTGATTCAACTTTAGGGTTCCCTGGCGAGGGTCCCTTCCTCGCCTCCCTCGCCTTCTTCTTTTGCGGCCGCCTCTTGTGTCTTTTCTTCCTCTTCCTCGCCTCTCCGGGTTCTTCAGGGTGTTCAGGGTGGGGTTTTAAAGGATGCCATGGCATGCTGCTCCCCCGCGACCGCGCAGACCAAGCGCGACAGGCTGCAAGAGAGCACAAGACACTGGCTGAAGGAAGGCCTGTCGAGGAGCCGACTCAGCGTAGACGTCAGAAGTTTCTGGAGGCTTTTGAGCGTTGGCTTGGCGCCCGTGGTTTCGACTTCAAGGTGCTCCTGACACAAGGGTTTGAAGGGGCCCCCGAGATGAACCGTCTGCTGACCGACTTTGGCCGTGAGCTTTTTGCTGCTGGCTGGCCTTATTCTCACTACTCGGAAACCATCAACGGGGTTGCTGCTTTACAGCCAGCTTTGAGGCGTGTTTTGACACCAGCTTGGGATTTAGCGTTTTCGTGGCTCCGTGAAGAACCTCATACGCATCACCTTGGCATGCCTTGGCAGGTGCTACTCGCTTGTGTCTCAGTTGCCCTTCTTTGGGGCTGGGTCCCCGTCATGCGCGTGGGCGAGGTTCTCGGTGCTACGAGATCTGACCTGACATTGCCAGCCGATCTTGGTGGCACGATATGGTTTGCGCTGCTGTCAATCGCGGAGCCAAAAACAAGGTTTCGAGCTGCCCGACGCCAGGTCGCTCGCTTGGACCAACCTGATTTGCTGCGAGTTGTCGCCATGGCTTTTGGTCACTACGCCCCCGAAAGGCGCCTATGGCCTTTCTCTCCCTCGACTTTGAGGAGCAGGTTCTCCGCAGTGGTCAAGGCCCTCTCTTTGGACCGACTTCCAGGAGGCAAGCAGTTGGACCTTGGCTCCCTCAGGGCGGGAGGGGCTACGTGGCTCCTTCACCAGACTGAGAACAGCGAGCTCGTCAGGCGACGAGGCAGATGGCTAAATCATCATTCAATGGAGATTTACGTCCAGGAAGTGGCGGCGCTACATTTCTTATCGACAGTCCCAGCCGTCGCCAAGACCAAGGTTTTGTCCTTGCTGGAAGGATTCCAAAATCTCCTGTTCCGTGCAGAAGCGCTTCAGCGTGCAGGGGTCCGTTCAATCTCTTTCGCCTGGGTTAGCAGCCGCAATGGTTGGAAAGGTTGGGTGTGGCGAAAATCGCTTTGGGCATACTACCAGGAGCTACTTCAGACTCTGGTGCAAAACAGAAGTTGCACCGTTGCCGCTTGGTTAGCATGAACACCTGACCTACAGGTGCGATTGCGTTCTCTGCGGCTGCTCAAGCATCCCGCCCTCCACTCCCGCACCCAGGCGAAAATCGCTTTGGGCATACTACCAGGAGCTACTTCAGACTCTGGTGCAAAACAGAAGTTGCACCGTTGCCGCTTGGTTAGCATGAACACCTAGTTAAGCCTTACGTCAACTGAGCCCTCGTTGTCCTGTTATTTAACATATTACATTCTTTTTGAAGCATTGAGAACGCCCGTTCTTGTTTGCTTCAAACGCACAAACCGTTGGGAACGCCCGTTCCCTTCCTTTAGCTGCTCTTTTTGGTTAGTATTTCTTGTGCAGTGTGCAGTACGGATAGCTTCGGCGTAAGGTTTCTCGACTGGCCCAAACAACAGGATCCTCGGAACAGAGCAATGATATTTGCGCTAGCAGCAGGGCCAGCATTTCTCGCTAGTCTCTGCGATATCTTTTGGGGCGCAGACGGTCACCTGGCTGCACTCATAGGCACATGTGCTTATGGCCTAAGCGCTAACCGCTCCTCGGTCTTCGTCACAGGAGCGCCAGGCAGCGGAAAAACCCGTTCGTGTGCCTTTCTACACGGCTCACGGTCATGAGTCGGTGCGGGCCTATGTCGAAGCCGCGGACAGGCTGACAGCGGGGAGCCACAGCTTCGTCCGGAGTCGTATTGTGCGAGTCCCGGCCAGCCAGGAGAAGGATACACATAAGCTCCCATTTGATGCTCATGAGCACGGTCGTCGCCCGCCTTAGCTTCCCATATTCTGCACTAATAAACAGGCTGAAGGATGTCGAGATCCTCCTATGGGATGAAGCTCAGCAAGTCGGGACCCCAGGGTCCAACTGCATTCTCGCTCACATACGGCATGCGCTGGACGTTATGATAGGGGATCACAGACAGCCGGCAGGGGGATCGCGCCCAAATTACCATTTCGTGACGGAGTTGCTTGAGAAAAAGACTTGCGGCCTCAACGCTCTCCCATCGACACTCTTCACACCGGCAACCTTGGCGGAGGCCTTGACAAAGCAAATACAGCATGGCCCGGGGACATGGAAAAAGGCCAAGGGGAGATGCCCTCTTGGGGCAAATCCACGGGGCACATAGGCGCTGACGAGCTTGCGTTCACTGCCAGGGTCATGCTTGAGCCCAGTCTCTGCCATGCCAAGCCTAAGCAGGCGGAAACTGTTATGCAAGCGGCAGGCCTCAAGTCTATCTGCGGGCCTGCGATCAACATTTCACTCAGCACGTCTATGCGCCTCCCACCAGAGATCTCCGCCGTCCTGTATGCATGCAGGTATCCGGAGGCCTGTCTCTTTGCATTAGGAGGGCAGGATGCCACCCTCTTGATGCCGCAAGGGCCTAGCTTGCATCACCTGAATGCTCGTCCCTTACGTAGTCCAGCTGGGAGGTGGCTAGAAACTTGCAGATGGGTCAGCATAAAGGACCATCCTGAAGGAAGGAGTAAACTGGGCACCAGTCTGGAACTCAGCTGGCTGATCGCAGATATTGTGCTTACCTTCGGGCACCAAATTTATAATGATGCCCCTATCGGCTTTGTCTCCCAATATGCTAAAATTGTGCTGCAAATCAAGTGTTACCCTGAGGAAGAACTGGGCGACAAGAACATGAGCCTCATGGAGGCTTGCCAAACCTCCTGTGACTTCCCTCTGAGAGGACGATCCAGCACGTGGGATATGGGGGCTTTCAAAAACTTCCTTAGTGCCAACTTCGGAGCTTTAAAAAGATACTTTAACGCAATCACAACTGCGTGCTCGACTGGAGCCACCTTTGGCGTGTGTGTCTTTGTCACGAGCAAAGCGTCAGGCTTCTTGTTCCAAAGCGAGGCTGGATTCGCTCGTGCAACCTCATCGTTCACCCGTGGGCTCGGCCCGTTGATCTTTCTCACACCACCCTATCCGGATGGAGTTGGCGCTTGTTTTCAAATGGCAGCTTGCTCGTCGGCAGGTCTGATCAGCCGCAAGGAATATCTGCGCACGCAAGCCAGCTTGTGGAGCATAGACGGCCCTGGCGTCGCTAGGGCCCCCCACAAACAGGCCTTCCGCGAACAAAGGGTTGCTGACATCGTCCTACCCCAGGATCGCAGAGTTGGGATCAACCTATTTGCCAAGCCCACGCTGGATACTGCCTGGGTGCTTAAAGCCTCCTGGAAAAATGGACAGGACATCTTGTACCGGGACCTCAAAAATGAGTGCCAAGGGCTTGCCCCCTACTTCTGCTCTAAGTCCCACTGGGGCACTGTGCCGGACTTGCAAGCACAAGGACTCACCTTGGAGCCCCTTCCCAGCGCAGTATATTGTGTGCCAGCCTGCACATCGGCTGGCACCTGCAAGCACACCTGATCCGGCAGGGCCTGTGCACCTTGTGCCTGGGCAAGTGCGGGCACCTTTGCTGCGTTCTCGCTCTTACTAGCAGACAAAGGCCAACGCATTGCGCAAAGCTCTTCCGTGGCGTTCTCGCTCTCACTAACCAGGGAAACACCCCCTCTGCGTAGCCGCTGGCTACTCATGGACTGTCCCATTCGCTAACCACCAAGTCTAGCGTCTGCTGGATATGGTTTGCTTGTTAAGTACTTGGCAAAATGGAGCGCCTTCAATACAAGGCTTCGACATGCTTGCGCTATCAGTTGCAGGCCTATTACAGCGTGGCTCTGCGAGTCGTGCAGTGTGGCTTTGAGAAGGAACCCAACGCTGACTCCACTGGCTGATCACCATGGAACAGCTTGGGCACCGTGTGAGCGCTTCCACTACGTTGCCTCGACCTGGCCTCGTGACGGAACCCAACGCTAACTCCACTGGCTGATCACCATGGAACAGCTTGGGCACTGCGTGGCGCTACTCAAGTGCGCAGCTGGCTATCATTGTCACTGCGCAATGTGGCCTGGGGCCGAGTTGGCTCTGAGGTCTCTCTTGGCGGGCCATACAGGCTGATCTAACAGTCCCCACTGGCTAACCACCATTACTTAGTCGTTGATTGGTATGGCGTGTGAGATCGGTGAAACTATACGGAATCGGTAGCCACTGGCTACTCATGGATTGTCCCAGCCGCTAACCACCACGAAAGCGATTTCGCGCGAATGCCAAATCTTGCCTGCTGGATCGCTTTGGTGAGTCCTGACATCATGTGGATAGCTTGCTAAGTCCTTGGCACTGGTGAGCGCTTTCACGCGGCTTCGACATAAAGGCATTATCAGTGGTAGGCTTCTTACAGTGTGGTTCTGCGATTCTTACAGTGTGGCCCTGCGAAGGAACCCAACGCTGACTCCACTGGCTGATCACCATGGAGCAGCTTGGGCACGGCGTAAACGCTTTCAATACGTTGCATCGACCTGTTGGCTCTGCTTGCTGCAGGATATTTACTGTGCTGCCTAGCGACGGAACCCAATGCTAACTCCACTGGCTGATCACCATGGAGCAGCTGCTACCCAAGTGCGCCGTTGGCTATCGCTGTAACTGCGGCGATGCGGCTCGTTGCGGAGTTGGCTCTGAAGTCTCCTTTGGCAGGCCCTAGAAGATGATCAAGCAGTCCCCACTGGCTAACCACCATGGGGCATCACGGGTTCACCCTTCCGTCCGGAAGGGTGTGCCCCTGTCCTCCATGTCCTTTCCTGCGACCTTGATGGCTGATGGACATTGTAATTCGTTGAGGCAGCACTAGTGCTCTTGCTATGCGGACAGATACGACTGCTGCTTGCCAACGCATTACCGACCGCCGCTGTGCAAATAACTTTGGGATGGTGATTTTGACCTTCTGGCATATATCGCATTTTGCGATCTCTCCACGAGCTTGGCACTACGAGGATCCGCTCTTGGACTACATCGACGAGTTTGTGTACTGAGCGCGTGGGGAGTTTCTTAGCTTTTTCGCCCCCTCTTCTTGGTTTCCTGGTCTGCTTTGCCTGGTTGCTTTGCGGTGTGTTGGTTGGTTGGGTGGTTTCTTCTCGCTTGGTCGTGTTGCTTTTTACTGGCGATCTGTTTCACACCTAGTTGAGAGACCCACAAGAACGGCCTACTGTTCTACTGATGTAGTAAAGGGGCGTCCGCTTTAAAACAAATTCTCGACTGGCCCAAACCGCATTCGTCAGGCCCACCCGGCTGAGGGCGCTAAATGTTGCTGGTGTTGATTTTGCCGTTGTGGACGGGGAAGGTGGGTGTTTGTTTGTTTGTGCGCTTCCCTTGGTTAGTAAGAGCGAGAACGCCAAGGAAGTGCTTTGCGCGTTGCGCGGGCCTTTGTCTGCTAGTAAGAGCGAGAACGCAGCAAAGGTTTGTGCCTTCGATGCATCCAGTTCGCGTGCGGTGGCTGTGCTGCTTGTTGTGTGGCTATACCAGACATTGCACGCGTAAGGGCTGTACTGCTCACTGTGTGAGCTAACACCAGCCCTTTGCCTGTTGATGCGAATAACCGCGCTCGACACCCAGCAGCAAGCCTGCCTCTCCCGCTCGTGCAGCATATCAACTCTTTGCAACAGTGAAGTACGCTTAGTGAAGTACGCTTGGTAAAGGTGGGGGTTTGTCTGTTTGTGCGCTTCGCTTGGTTAGTAAGAGCGAGAACGCCAAGGAAGTGCTTTGCGCATTGCGCTGGCCTTTGTCTGCTAGTAAGAGCGAGAACGCAGCAAAGGTTTAGGCCTTCGATGCATCCAGTTCGCGTGCGGTGGCTGTGCTGCTTGCTGTGTGGCTATACCAGCCACTGCATGCGTAAGGGCTGTGCTGCTCAGTGTGTGGCTTACACCAGCCCTTTGCCTGTTGATGCGAATAACTGCCCTACACCCAGCAGCAAGCCTGCCTCTCCCACCCGTGCAGCGTATCAACTCTGCACAGGCTCAAGGTGCACAGGCTCGAGGTGCCCAGGTCCATGCCCAGGGCTTGTCGGGCACCTTCCCCTAGCGTGCCAGGCGGGTTGTTGCAGCCTTAATACTGTCGTTTTGCACACACTGCGCAAGCCTCATGCGTCTGTGTGAGTCACAACTCATGCGTCTGTCTGAAACGCAATTCTGCACGTTGTCCTGCGTTTTGGGTGTAGGAGGGCTCAGGATCGCACTTTTGAGGTCTGCTGGCCGCTCCACAAACCAAAGGCGATTAACAACCGAACGGCTTTGCCATTCGGTGCAAGCGTGCTGGGTTCGCTGAGGTGTAGTGTTAAATTGTCCTTTAGTAGCATTCCCTTTCCTCAAAATGCTCCCTTACGCCCACTTGCCTATTATGCACCTAGCGCTGCGGGGCTCCGCGAAGGCGTCTTGTTGATCAGCCTGGCGGGCTCGTCTGTGTGCAGCTCTGTGCGTGGTGGCAGTCAGCGGGTGTGCAGGAGTCTGCATTTAGGGTTTTGGTTTGCTGCTTAGGTTTCTGGTCTGCCCCTCACCCTTGTGACAGTGCTAGTCGCAGCATAGGGCGGAGGCCTCGTCGTGTCAGTTCTTACCCGGCAGGGACACTCCGGGTTCATGCTGGAGGGGTGCCTGGCGGGGGCACTCCTTGCCACAAGCGCGTCATCGCTGTAATCGGCCTGCAATCCGGCGCGGCCCTGTTAACAAACGCCATGGCTCATGGACAGCGCCACTCCCTTAGAGTGCCGAATACAACGGACATCTGCTGGTCTATCTTGCGCAGCACGATGGACACACCCTGCTCGTTACGGCCTCTGCGATAAGGGAGTAAGCTTCTCAAACTGATGCCTAAGTCTTCTCCAGAAGGCCCAGAGTGATTAGGCCTCTCAAATTGCTGCCCAAACCGCCTCCGGAAGGCCCAGAAGTGCTTTGGCCTATCAAACTGTTGCCTAAACCCTCCCGGAAGGCTCAAAAGTGATTAGGCTTCTCAAGCTGCTGCCTGAAACTTCTCCGGAAGGCCCAGCAGCGAGTCGGCCTCTCCAACTGCTGCCCAAAAATTTTCCTGAAGGCTCAGCAGTGGGTAGACCTCTCAAACTGATGCCTCAAACATCTTCAGAAGGCCCAGAATGATTAGGCCTCTCAAACTGCTGCCCAAACAGTTGCCTGAAGGCCCAGAAGTGATTAGGCTTCTCAAACTGCTGCCTCAACCCGCCCTGGAAGGCTCAGCAGTGATTAGGCCTCTCAAACTGCTGCCTAAAACTTCTCCGGAAGGCCCAGCAGTGAGTAGACCTCTCAAACTGCTGCCTAAAGCTTCTCCAGAAGGCCCAGGAGTGATTAGGCCCCGAACCTTCGCCAGAAGGCCCAGAAGGGATGTGAGAAACTGCTGCTTCAACCTTCTCCAGCAGGCCCAGAAGTGATTAGGCCTAACACTTTGCTGTGGGTCCCGCATCAGGTGTAGTCACGGGGTAAACCTGCTTGAAGTGCTCTCCGCAAAAATCGGCCGCTGCGCGGGGCTCCGAGTTATAAGGCGCCTTGACTCTCACACTTGACGCGCGGTTGGCTGCAGACCGTTTAGCGGCCTTGGGGGCCTTAAACTGCTCCGAGCTCCGCGCTGCGCGCGGCCTGATACCTGCACTGCAGGGGGAGAGCGTGAGCGAACCTGTGTAATCATTCTACCGAGTGAGTCCTGCCTCATCAAAAAACTCGCGCCAATCCGGCAGGTTTGGGTTGTCTGGCAAAATGGCGGTACACGGTAGCTGTAAACAGCGCAGCTATGCTGTTGAACGCCGCCTGTTCTTTGCGCAAACTGCTGAAACCTTCTCTGGAAGGCCCAGAGGCGATCAGGTCTTTCTAATTGCTGCCTAAAACTTTCCCGGGAGGCCCAGCAGTGTTTCAGCCTTCGAAGGCTTCCAGGCGCTACGTCACCAGGCTAAGCATGCCAAGCCGATAGGCTCCCGGTACCTGGGAAGCACATGAGCCAAGTGCCAGCCAGCAGCCTTTGGGGCTCTTGTGCCGTCTCAAAAATTGGCCGCTGCGCGGGGCTGTAAGAATATGGCCTCTTGCAAGCAGCGCTCCAGGCCCGTGAGGTCGAGCCTCAAAACTTTCGGCGCAAACACAAGGAGCCTCCAAATACGGTACTCCCCTAGTAGCTATGTGAGGACGCCCGGACTCACATAGCGCCGATGGCAGCATTGTGTAGCCACACCAGCCCCTTGCCTGCCCCCGCTCGCCGGGGGGGGAGGGGGCGCCCTTTCTGGCACTCTGTGTGCATTGTGCCTTTGCGCGCGTTCAGCGTGCTTGCAACTTTCTTGTCAACCCAAAAAGGAGTCCTGAGTGCTATGCTTTTGCTACGTGTGGGGACTGTCTCTACGGACGCGTTGAGCAGTTTAGGTGACGGAGGTTCCTTGCCTTACGGCCTACCCTTACTTTCGCTTAATGTCTGTACCAGACGTGGCGCAGCATTGCTGAGTGATTGGTGCCGGTAGGTTCTTGTTTGCATTGGTCTCACCTTGCTGGCCTTGTGTTAAGTTGTCTTGCAATAAGGGCCTCTGCGCTGGCGGTTGCTGCTTTGTAGTCACGACTTCTTTTACGCTCGCTAGTTTGGACTCTCTAAGCAGTGGTCTGTCTCACCCTGAGTCGTGTGTTCTCACCTCCGACTCGACCCACAAGAACGGCCTACTGTGCTACTGATGTAGTAAAGAGGCGCCCGCATTATAAAAAAGCTGACCAGGTGTTCGACGCTTGCTGGTGCAAGCACAAACACGTCTGTCACGACAGCAGAGCCCATGGTTCTGGTGCCGCCGCGCCAGCAAGCAACCATGGCTGCCACACGAGCCATGGCTTCTTTCTACTTTTCCTTGAAGAAACAGCTGCAAAGAAAAAAACAAATTAAGGGCCAAATCAACAAAATTGCCATTACAATTTCTGTCTGTAGCATTTTCTCGCGTGCAGCTGACGTTGAGCTGGACGAAGTGTCTTTCAGGTCCGTGGGACGTCCTGGAGGCATAGTCTGGCTGCGTTACTTGGCAGTGGCACGGCGAGGCTCCAGCAAAGTGTGGCTGCAACGTCTTCCTTACCGTGTCACGCAGGCTGGTCAAGGCGGAGGAGGACCTCTGTCTGTGGCTGAAATGACAGAGACCTTGTTGCTGGATTCGGACAAACCCGTTCTGGCAAAAGGCTCTGTTTGCCATACCGATGGTGCGAAAGCGAGCCCAACTCGGAGGATTCTCCTGGCTGACATCGGAGCGCAGTTTGCTGACACCCTGGCCGCGATCTCTTGGATCTCCGTCGAAACCAAGAAGACGGCCGTCGCTGCTATGAAGAGTTTCTGGCCAGGCCACGATGTGACCGCCAACCGGCTGACCAATCTTCCATGGCCTGGTTCAGAGCGCTTTGGAAAAGCGCGGTGGGCAGCTGGCAGGGTCGTGTAACGAAGGGCAGGAGGAGCACAGCAGCGAATTCTCCAGATCACTCAGCCCAACTGGCAGCACGGACAGTAGAATGGGCTGCACGGACACTGGAATGGAGGAGTGGGGGTTACCTACTACGGCACGTGGGTGAACTCCCAAGGGCAGCAAGGGGGCTTGACCGACTGGCTCGTCATGTGCGGCAACAGCGCAGGGGTTGTCTTAAGGGGCCAGGAGAGGAAGAACATCGCAGGTCACGTGGCAGTGAAGTCAAGTGGAGACGTCCACCTGTTCATCAACGAGGGAGTGCTTCAAAAGGTATCGGACTTTGGCGTAGGTCATCGTTTGGAACCGGGCGCCCTCAGAAGCCGAGATGTGGACCAGCATGGAGTACCTGAACTGGAAGCTTGGTTTCGAGTAAAGGACTGTTAGTTACAGATCCTTGAGAAGTCGACTGACTGACCAACCCTCCAAACATGCCACCTTGCCGCCGGCGGTTCTCAGTGCAAAAAAGAAGCCGGCCGAGTCTTAAAGTAACTGGGTGCTGCAGTCTTGCGCTCTTGGAGGCATGAGTTCAACAGTGGAGTGAATTTGCGCAGTCAATCGTAGATTCCCTAAATCACAACACCTTGGCATGCGCCTGAAAAATTGTGATCTGCATGGACATTTGTGTTGCAGGCATGAAGGTCTTCACAATGACGTGATCCAATGTGCATGGAGTATTCAGCATGGGATGTCACGATATGGTCTTCCAAAGTTATGGTGGTGATGATGTTGCCAGCACTAACATTGACCAGTCCCCCGCTCCAAGCCAGTGTTACGCTTCATCAACAAGGATCTGTAACAGGTGCAGCTTTGGTTTGCATGCAGCCGCATGGCCCGGAAGGCGTTGAAGGGGTGGGCGGAAGACATGGCAGAGGCATCAGGGCAACATGGGTTGTGACATGGGGCCTTCAGCCTCACAGGCATATCGTCGAGCTGCTGATGCCTGTTTGGGTGGTGTTTGAAGCGTTGTGCTCAGTGGTTTTCGCTGTTTGTACGCGGATGAAAGAAACACTTTACCTCGTCTCATTCTGGCATGTTGTTGGATTTGAGGTCAAATGTCCCACAGTCAACCTAGAAGACATCCGCATTGTCGGATCTTTGCCTGAGCTTGGCTCTTGGCAATCGCCTCAGGGGTGCAATTCCTTGATTTAGACTTTAGACGGTCTTGTGCTATGCCCCAAGTCCCCGGTTAATGAATTCGCCTGAAGGGAAACATCGCGGGCGTTGCCTTTGGCAACATCCGAGCGGACGTATCCTGCGCACTGAGCTTGGGCACTGCATGGTACCTGTTTGTTGCACCCTTGCGATGCGATGGTCTGAGGTGGAGGTCCGCCGAGATTTCGCTTCCTAGCCACGTGACAGAGGCAGGATTCGAGCACAACAAAATCACCCTGCAACCGGCGGTGTGCAAGGGTTGCACCGCCGTATGTGTTGCAGGTTGTGCAGTACAAATACATAAAGGCCAGGCAGTGCTAGCGGTAGGTGGGCACTGGGGTTCATGGTTCACAGCCAGCAGGTGTTCGACGGATCATTGGTGCAGTGGGAGGCAATGCCACTTTTGCATGAGTTTTTCCCGCTTTTAACTGAGTGCAGGGTGGGCCCAACCGCATTCTGGACGTGAGTAGGGTTTAGGGTTTAGGGTTTAGGGTTTAGGGTTTAGGGTTTAGGGTTTAGGGTTTAGGGTTTAGGGTTTAGGGTTTAGGGTTTAGGGTTTAGGGTTTAGGGTTTAGGGTTTAGGGTTTAGGGTTTAGGGTTTAGGGTTTAGGGTTTAGGGTTTAGGGTTTAGGGTTTAGGGTTTAGGGTTTAGGGTTTAGGGTGGTTGAGAGGATGGTGCGCCACCAGCCTTCGTGAAAGTGCACATGGCATCGTTTCTCGGTGAATTACGTCGATGACCTGACTTTCGACATCAATGAGTGCCCCTTGAGTGATTGTGCGGTTTAGGGTTTAGGGTTTAGGGTTTAGGGTTTAGGGTCTAGGGTCTAGGGTTTAGGGTTTAGGCCCTAAACCCTAAACCCTAAACCCTAAACCCTTCACCCAACAACTTTGCAACTTAGCTTCTGCAGGTGACGCGCCGAGGTGGGTCTTGACCTTCGTGATTTATGGGTCATGAAGCAAGGATCAATGTCACTCTTGGGATGCTGCCGCCACGCTACCTCGGAAGTGCCAGAACAGTTAGAGCTTCAAGTCGCCGTCGCCATCAGCCAAGTCGGCTTAGGGTTTAGGGTTTAGGGTTTAGGGTTTAGGGCTTAGGGTTTAGGGTTTAGGGTTTGTGTTTTGGGGTTTCAAGCGGAAAGTACTGCGCTTTGCCGGCTAGCCCGCAGTTTGGTCGACCTAGGCAACATGGGATGGTGGGGGCCTACTTAGAGGCCCATGGGACTGAGGTACGTATACTTATAATTCCTTAGTTATGACCCCAATAAAGGTACTTATACCCTAACTTACCAAGTCCCATGATCCTCCAAGTCGGGACCGTGCAGCAATGCAGAGTTGCAGTAAGGTCTGGGAGAGGGCTGCCGCGACCTCACGGATGGCGAGTGGTTGCGTCGACAAGGCTCGACCCTCCTCGCCCTGCACTGTTGGTAAATTTTCGGTCATCTGTATCCCAGTCCTGGTTGGCGACTTGGTGATTTAGCGTTATGGCCCCCATGGACTTCCACTTCGGGCATGGTGTCGATGTCTTGGGCATTGTTGACCTTGAGCCATTAGAGAGCCCACGCACCAAGTGCTGGTCTAGGATGCGCGGATCTGCAAAGGCAGGGGGCCCAGTGCTGCAGAAGGGTGCCGTACATGCGGGAAGAAGCAGACGGTACGACACCCTCCAGATCGTCACTGCTCTGACCTGCTGCCTGTTGCATGCAGACAGATCTCTGCTAGGCGTCCTTATGCCACCAGGCTCGTGTTTTCTGGTGCAGTGCTTGCAGCGGACAATGGCTAAGGCTTGACACCGTTGCACTATGCAGCCGAGCATGGCCACGACGAGTCCGCGGGGAAGTGCACAAGGACAGGGAGGCGACAGCGTGTCAGCCACCAATCCCCACCCACAGCCGGTCCACCCCCACCACACCAGTGCATCCAGTTGAATCAATCACTTCAGTGCTCGCTTGTGTTCCTGGCTCTGAGCTGTGTGTAGGCCCTGTCATTTTAGGGTGCCGTGCTGGTGCCGTGCTGGCCACGCCCCAGCATTTCCCGCAAGCGTTGCCGTTTCTGAAATGGGCTGTGCAGTTTCGAAGTCCCAAGCAACGGCTCCGGAAAGGAACAATGAGAAGTTGCTGCGAGGCCGGTTTTTGGGTATGTCTGGAGTTTCGGGGTTTCCAGCTTTGGGGATTGTTAGGGCCTTTAGCTGCACGAGAGAACCTCTCGGAACTTAGCAACACAGAGTTTTGCATGGGATGTCGTTGCGCTCGCAGGCGGCATCAAGATAATGGAGTTCAAGGTCAAGGGCAGCAAGCCGGGAAGGCAATTTTCTGCGGAGATCTCTCTGCTTGGTGGTGCTGGTGGTGGTGATGCGTCCGTGGTGGCTGCTTTTGCGAAGCAAGAGCATTTGCCTACAGACTGGAAGCATTATTCAGTGTATGCTGCATCGGTAGTGTTCGAGTATCACAACGACCAGGGCCCAGAATTCAACATCCACCTTGATCCTACAGTGGGAGTGCGTCTCCTGGGTGAGGATGTCCTTCCAAATGCAGTCCTTCTTGGAAGTCATTGGGCTCCAGACAACGACAGATGGAAGTGGCTTCGCGAGCACGGGAACCTTCATTGGCAAGGAAAATATGCGATGAGTACGCCTGCCCCGTTAGAGAAGGGTAGCCAGCGGCGGCTACTTGAATTCAGGGTCAAAGGTTCTTCGCCTGGCAGACGCTTTTCCGCATACTTGGAGTTTCAAGATCCGATGGGCCGGAGAATGGGCGAGCTTACATTATTAAGCCGGATTGCCCTTCCCCGAGAGATGACGACCTACTCCTTTGATGTGGAGCAGGTGGCTTTGACGTACCATAATGACCAGGGCCCTGAATTCAACATCCACCTTGACCCTACAATGGGAGTGCGTCTCCTAGGTGAGGATGTCCTTCCAAGTGCAGTCCTGCTTGGGAGTGGTTGGGCTCCAGACAACCCCAGATGGCAGACACTTCGCGAGCACGGGAACCTTCACTGGCAGGGAAAATACGAGATGAGACCTGGCTCAGGTGAGCTGCAGCGAGGTGGGTATGTGTAGAAAATGTTGCCCTCAAAAACCTGCCCATTTCGCACATGCACGGCAGTTTTTGTTGGGGTCTTTTAGGGCTCGTCTGTGTTAGCCGTTCTATCGGAATGGGATGTCGTTGCGCTCGCAGGCGGCATCAAGATAATGGAGTTCAAGGTCAAGGGCAGCAAGCCGGGAAGGCAATTTTCTGCGGAGATCTCTCTGCTCGGTGGTGGTGTATCTGTGGCCGCTCGATTTGCGAAGCAAGAGCATTTGCCTACTGACTGGGAGCATTATTCAGTGTATGCTGCGTCGGTAGTGTTCGAGTATCACAACGACCAGGGCCCAGAATTCAACATCCACCTTGACCCTACAGTGGGAGTGCGTCTCCTAGGTGAGGATGTCCTTCCAAATGCAGTCCTTCTTGGAAGTGATTGGGCTCCAGACAACGACAGATGGAAGTGGCTTCGCGAGCACGGGAACCTTCATTGGCAAGGAAAATATGCGATGAGTACGCCCGTGCCGTTAGAGAAGGGTAGCCAGCGGCGGCTACTTGAATTCAGGGTCAGAGGTTCTTCGCCTGGCAGACTCTTCTCCGCGTACTTGGAGCTTCAAGATCCGATGGGCCGGAGAATGGGCGAGCTTACATTATTAAGCCGGATTGCCCTTCCCCTGGAGATGACGACCTACTCCTTTGATGTGGAGCAGGTTGCTTTGACGTACCATAATGACCAGGGCCCGGAATTCAACATCCACCTTGACCCTACAGTGGGAGTGCGTCTCCTAGGTGAGGATGTCCTTCCAAGTGCAGTCCTGCTTGGGAGTGGTTGGGCTCCAGACAACCCCAGATGGAAGTGGCTTCGCGAGCACGGGAACCTTCACTGGCGGGGAAAATACGAGATGAGACCTGCTTCCTCCGAGGACGACATTCTGAACCGGACGGTAGAAATGCCTGCGTACTGGCATCTGAATGACGAGAGCATGGAGTCGAAACGAGTCCCGGAGACTCCCGAGGTTTGCCAAGCGATGCAGTCCCTGGATTGATTTGGGCTTTCGGGTTGAGGGTTGAGGGGTTTTCAGGTTCGGAGTTTAGGGTTGAGGGTTCAGGCTTTTAGGGCTTCGGGTTGAACGTTCCCAGTCCCCGGAAGCACCTGCTTGTAAGAACAACTCCATTGTAGACGTCAGGCTGGTAGACGCTGCAGGGATGTGGGATAGCCGTATCCCCAGGTCTTTGATGGACAGCACATGGAAGGCGATAGCTACGAGGGACCGAGCGGAGGAGGAGGAGGAGGAGCTTGGAGGAGGAGGAGGCGGCGTGCAGCGATTCGAAGTCGTTCAGGCAACTGGATCCTTCATATGGAAACTCAGAGGTGTAACCCTAAACCCTAAACCCTAAACCCTAAACCCCAAACCCAGGGTTTGCCAGGCCTTTGATGTGAGGGCTTTTCTAGGGTCCAGGATTTCTAGAGGCTCGGCGTCTTTCCGTGCATCTCGCGGTTTGAGCTTTGGGTTTAGGGTTAGGGTTTAGGGTTTAGGGGTTAGGGGTTAGGGCATCTTCTTTGCTTGACAGAACAGAAACCTGCTATAAGCTCGAAGCCATGAAAGCCCTTAATCCCAAGGTGTTGCGAAATGAAAACCCAAGTCTTTGGGTTCCTTATTGGCGACAGCGGGAGCGAATCCGCCGCCAGTGTGGAGATAAATCTTTGCCGGCCGAAACGGTGAAGACGAGCTTATGTGACCAGTTGGCACTTTGGGAAACTTGTTAATTTCCTGTATGGTTCTAGTGGTTCCATGGACATACCTATTTATGAATATTTTTGGCCCCGAAACTGCAATCCAGGTGAGGAGTTCTGCAAAACGAGTGGGCACGCGTCGTTATGCCATGACGCGCGCGAGTTCTACTTGTTCCACGGCACCAACCCGTCTGCAGCCAATGCGATCTGTGCCTCTGACTCTTGGATACAAACCCTAAACCCTAAACCCTAAACCCTAAACCCTAAACCCGAAACCCTAAACCCTAAACCCAACTGATATTTGGGTGAGAAGCATGTTTGGCCGCAAGCCGTTGGGTTGAGCATCTCAAGCGCCAAGCAAGATGGTCTTGTTACTGCTCTGCCAGAAAGCCAAGGACTTCAGAGTGGACTTGGCTGGTTCTCACAAAGGAACTCTCTATGGACGTTTGCCTGCTTTTGATCACTATTTTTTTTCCGGGGATGTGGAGTTCGAAGGGTAGGAGGTTTTGCACGAGGTTCCTAGTGCAAGAAGCTATGAAGGCAAGGGCATCTATTTCGCTGAAGCCTCGAGCAAGTCTGATGAGTATGCTTCGGACGACCAGGATGGACTGCATTGCATGCTGCTGTGCAAGGCCACTTCCTTGATTTTGAATTCTGTTGGGGTCTTGCAGCTGATTCCGTATCTGGTTGAGGTGGATGGGCTGAGCTCTGTCATGAGGAAACTAAAACTAAGGTCAGTTGTGGCGATTGGATCTACACCGACGAAGTCAAGCCAGATGTCGAAGCTCTGTTACAGAAAATTCAATCCGGCCAACACCACTCCATCCTTGGAGATCGTGAGAAGGCTCGCGGAACGTACAGGGAGTTCATACTCTTCAACAACGACCAAGTGTACCCTGAGTACATAGTAGTGTACAAGCGGCATGCTGTCCGGTGAAAAACAAACTGGTGTGCATGAGGTCACAGAGTTCAGGCTGGTAGGTCTCCTCATGCCCAACAGATGTGATCTGCTTTGTAATGCTTTCGCGAATTCTGATTGACGGTGTAGCTGGTTACGAATCCGAATGATCTCACATCTGTGGCGGCCTGCCTCCCGACCATATGACGCTACAGCATAATTGACACACGAATGTGGACATTGCTTGCATTTGGTAGTCCTGTCAATCCTGCATAGAATCGCTGTTGTTGTTATGCCTTGGGTATCACTGCAGTACTACTATATGTCTCTATCCTAGCCACAGGAGCATAGCGAAGCAACATTAACCAGTCCAGGAAACCATAGTCAGAGAGAACATGGGTATCAATCATGGAACTAGACAAGAAACAGTAATACAGACACCCGCAAGATTGGGCTCAAGCCTCATTTGTTTAGTCGATGCAGTGGATGCGTGTTATGTCGATACGATTGGGAGTTTTCTTTGATGTGATTCGCGTGAATCAGCCTTTATTTCGCGCACGAATACATATTCGGATGAATAGGTATGCACCCGTTCGCCCACGGGGGAAAAACACGGAGAGACCAGGAGCCCAGCAAAGGCCAAGAGCAGCACCATGCGTACATGTCGATTACAGGTGTTGCGGCACAGGCTCACACTTCGATTCACAGACTGCGGGGCGCAGGACCCCTTCCATCTGCAAGTTTTGGGGTCTTTCTTCCACTCACCGAACCCGATTGGGATGCCGCAAGCTTTCTGGCTTCGTGGTGGTCCGTTCGCAACGAAGCCGGTCAGGACGCCTCAAATCTTCGTGGTCTTTCAATCAACGACCCTGGTTGCGATGCTGCAAGTTTTCGTGGTCTTTCGAGTATCGAAACCGGCCGGGACACCTCACGTTTTCAATCAACCATCCCAGCTGGGATACCTAAATTTTCGTGTTCTTTCACTCAACCAGCCTCAAGTTTCGTGGTGCAAGAGTGTGCCAAAGGATAGGGCTCATTGCACTGAGGCTTGAGCGGGAAGGTTTAGGCATCGCGGACACTTGTGATTGATTTGGAAGCTTTGTCATGGATTTCGGAACGAAGCTTCGTTCAGGTTGGTTGGAATGTCACCCTAAACCTTGAATGTTCCCACTTTTTCTAACAGTCCTTAGTAGTACCCTGGCCCCCCATTCCCATCTTCATAAGGGCTGTTAGTTGCAGGGGGAACATCCCAACCGCAAGCGCTAACCCTAAGCCCTAAAAACCTTAAACCCTAAACCCCAAACCCTAAACCCTAGACCCTAAACCCCAAACACTAAACCCCAAACCTTGAACTCTAAATCCTGAACCCTAAATCTAAACCTGAGCCAGGCAGGCGATTGCCAAAGAGCCTGGGAGGGCGCCTCGGCGTTCGAGGCGCGACAGTTGCGAGGAATGGGGAGGGAGTGTGGACGGGCAGTTAGGGTTTAGGGTTTAGGGTTTAGGGTTTAGGGTTTGGGGTTTAGGGATCGTTGAATTTGATAGTTCTATGATTTCAGGGTTGTTCAGGGAGCGGAGGGCGGATCGCAGGGATTGTGGACATGATGTCCATCCATCTTGGCACAAGCACGACCTCATCGTGCAGGCAATCTAGAAGATGCTCCAAGTAGGCGTAGCGGGCATGTGGCGCCCAGCGCGTGCGCAGCCGAAGACAGAGTTGCTTGCTGGAGGGGTCAGACCAAATCCGAGCGCTAGGGTGAAGCTTGGCACAAAGGACGACATGTGCAGTTTGGCTTCGACAACGTCAAGTCGTCCTGTCGCCATGTCCGTGACCGTATTCTTCGGTACACGTTGGAGTCTGAATGCCAGGACTCGAAGGTGCAAAGCAAGGGCCCTGCCAGACGAGGAGCGATACTGGGAGCTCAGTGAGGAGGAGCGTGCGCGATTCGTGGAGGAGATGGACACCAATGCACCTTATCGATACCTCCTCCTCTTCCTTGCTGCGCTGCTTGTAGGCAAGGCCTTGCCAGATGCAGTGTTCTCCTACTTAAAGAATTTGGCCGGGATTCGTGGTGCAGTGTTGGACCCGTCCATGCTTGCCTTTGACGCCCTCCTCTGCGGGCTTGGAGTAGGCCTGGCATATGCCGCGCTGACTTTGCTAGGCGCACCCGAGCTTCCAGAGCCGCCGGAAAGAGAGAAGTCTGCAGGTCCGCCACCAAAATAACAGGTTGGCGGTTTAGGGTTTAGAGTTTAGGGTTTAGGGTTTAGGGTTTAGGGTTCAGGGTTTAGGGTTTCAAGGTGGCTGACACAAAGCTTTGACGGAGCCTTTCTGCAGCACCTGGATCGCTTCCGGCCTTCCTGGTGAAAAGCAACCGTGCATCGAAGATCCGGCCGGTCATGTCACGTAGACTAGTCTGCTCTTGGTTTGCGCAAAGGCTTCTGGACTGGCTAAACCCTAAACGCTAAACGCTAAACCCTAAACCCTAAACACTTAAACCCATATTTATTCGCCATCTGTGCTGGCGTGCGCCGGTGCAGGAAAAGCGAGGAGGCCTTGGAATCAGGAATGTTTGGGGCAGGACATGGGCATCGACTAGAAGTGATGGAGTTGCCGAAAAGAACCTGAAACCCCAAACCCTAAACCCTAAACCCTAAACCCTAAACCCTAAACCCTAAACCCTGAACCCTGAACCCTAAACCCTAAAAAACCCTAAGCTCTAAACCCTAAACCCTGAACCCTAAACCCTCAACCCCTAACCCCTAAAGCCTAAACCCCAAACCCGAAGCCCTAAAGATCAGGTCACCCCAAGCCTGACGCTAAGAAGGCTCTGCAGATGAGACTTCCTCGGCGTCCCGGACCCAGTCAGTCCATACGGCCACGACAGCATTGTTGCCGTGCTACCTTGTTACGCAGTGCGGAGTCTCCAAGGGCTAGGATGGGTGACGACTTTTGCCGGCAAAGGCTCTTGTTCGCTGCAGCAATCGTGGCTCAGAGATCTTGCGCCGGCGGGTGCCATGGAGAAGGCTGCCTTCGTGGATCACTATGCCCCAGAGACTGCAATTGCTTTCATGGTTTTCAAGCTGTCATTAAGAATCAAAGAAGGGCAAACAAGTAAACCCTACCAAATGTAAGCCGAGGCAGTTCTTGGCTGCGTGCCAGGAATGCCACTCAGCAGCCTGGAGGCGTCTTCGACCCAGAGATCCCTTAACACTTCCAGGGTTTAGGGTTTGGGGTTTTTGGGTTTAGGGTTTAGGGTTTAGGGTTTGGGGTTTAAGGTCTAGGGATGAAAATGCTTTACGCTACGTGGGATCGTTGGTATGCTCGAAGGAACGATTCCTTCCTTCACGGGCTTTTGAAGGGCTCTCGGCGGGAGTTCCGGAGGCTGCCTACCACCGCAACCTGCGGGAAGTCCATGCAGGTCGGCAGCCAAGCTCCGCGATTTTGGCTTTAGGGTTTCGGGCTTAGGGTTTAGGGCTTAGGGTATACGGTTTAGGGTTTTTCAGCAGGATGCCAAACAAACAATCAAAAGGCTTTGATATCAACAGCCTGCTGGACGGCAAGAGAGCCTCTTTGTTGGAACCCTAAGGCCCTAGAAGAGTTGTTGGGTGGCATGACCCTGATCCTTAAACGAGAAAATGTGATCAGAAGCCCCGACGCCTAAGCCGAAAAGGCATGTTGAATGGAAGGCCCCAGGCCCTAAAAGAAATCGCCGGAGTGCCAACCTGAATGGCAACCCTGTCACCTCAAACGAGGTTGCTTAGTGGGAATGTGAAAGACAACAAACCCCAAACGAGACGTCGGGCAGTACACCCTTAACCAAATCCCAAACACTGGAAGAAGATGTACCCTGAACCGTGAAGAAGTTGTTCGCCTGGGCTCTAAAATGGTTGGAGCTACTGTGACGTTCGCTGCAGCATATGCGGTTAGTTCATTGCAAGAAAGCGTTCGTTTGCTCGCACGGGATGTTGATGGAAGGCAGGTTTCAAGACTCGAAGTGAGATGGGCAGCGCAGGAGAGTTGGATCTGCCCCAGCACAAGCTTCTGCAGGCTCGGGGTCAGACGGAGCGCGGAGACGCTACGGCGTTGGGAGAGTTTAGGGTTTAGGGTTTAGGGTTAGGGTTTAGGGTTTAGGGTGTAGGGTTTAGGGCACAACTCACAAGTGTTCCCGGGGCCTGAAAGGCCATGCACGAGGCGTGGGCTGTGTTGCGGTACACGAGCTCTCGGCAGGACCGTGATGGCATGAACCAGACGGTTTGTCACAGCTGCGCATCCCCTGGTGCACACTCCCCGAAACCCTAAACCCTAAACCCTAAACCCTAAACCCTAAACTCTAACCCTAAACCCTAAACCCTAACCCTAAACCCTAAGCCCTAAACCCTAAACCCTAAGCTCTAAGCTCTAAACCCTAAACCCTAAACCCTAAACCCTAAACCCTAAGCCCTAAACCCTAGACTCTAAACCCTAAACCCTAAACCCTAAGCCTGCAGGATTACGACAAGCAGTGGCTCATGGAGAAAGGATGCCCAGCGGCAAAGCCTTCGGAGGTGGGGTTCAATGCATCGACGCAGACTTGCTGCCTCACCTTGGCCCTTTCAGTCTTCGGGGACCTGACGAACCCTCAAAGGGTTTATGGGTTCATGTACCTTAATACGGATGTTAGGGTTTATGGCTTCATATACTTTAGTAGGGATCTTAGGGTTCAGAATCCTTAATGGGGATTATGGTAGTATAGGGTATAGGAGCCCTGAATGTTAGAGGTTCATTGGGTCCCCTACAATATGTCGTTCTTCCTCGGGGTGCCTTCTCCGGAGGTGAGATCCTTGGGTCCCATGGGAGCTGCGCTCACCGCACGACGCTTCTGGAAAGAGGTGAGTTGTGCGGCCCCGGATGGGTAGTGTTGGGGGCGGACAACAACTCTAAACCCTAAACCCTATACCCTAAACCCCTAAACCCCTAAACCCCTAAACCCCTAAACCCCAAAACCCCTAAAGCCTAAACCCTAACCCCAAATCTTCACTTGATTTCTAGGCCCCAGGCTCGCCAGCAGATCGTTGCGGGCTGTGTTTTACCGGGTGAGCAGATTCGATTTCAGCGACACGAATTCTGTGAAAGCTGCAGGGGTCAAGAGAAGCGGCACACGATCTTCTCGAGCAAGCACTCGACTGCTGGCCCAGGAGTGCCCTTCGGTAAAGAGACATTTGGGCGTTAGAAAGCACTCGACGCTGATGCTGAAAACTTGGCAAACCCCTCTAACACCGGGAAGCCTTGTATCCACCAGGAGCCATGATCTTCTCGGAGTTCGCGCCGAATTCCAGACACATGGCCTGCATGCTATGTGACGCTTGTGGTGTGAAAGCACTTGTGTGCAGTATCTACTCCGAACGGCGCGCACTTCGACTGCTTAAACGTTTTCCTCGGACCCTCCTTCCCCGGCCCTCCTTTCGGTAGTCGAAACACAAGAGCCAGCGCTGGACGCCCGGTGTCGGCTAGTGGTTTCGGCTTCTCGCACTACAGTCGGGTCGGAGCAGAGGGCATGGGTTGTTTGTATACGTGTAATCATAAGGCCATAAGGCGCAATGAAGGGGATGTGAAGGGGGACGTGGGACGGCCTTTTTGTTGAGAGAACGAAGAACACATGGGTTGATAAACCCAAAAAGGTAGCGCCAACCATGTCAATACGCCTGACGCCATTCCCCTAAACCCCAAACCCTAAACCCTAAACCCTCTTTTCAGTATATAGTCTTCGTGGGCAATGGACATTTTTCGTGGGCAATGGTCACTTTTCGTGGGCAATGGTCATTTTTCGTGGGCAATAGTCAGCGGGAAATGGTCACTGGCCTTGGGCTTTAGGATTGAGGGGCTATTGGGACTTGGGCTTTAGGACTTAGGGCCTAATTTGGGCCTTGGGCTTTACGGTTTAGGGGTAAGATGTTCGGATGTGGTGGGATTCTTTGGGCGGGTGGGTGTTGGTCGAGAGAATGGCTGGACCAGACTCTTCACGCTCAGAACTGCTGAACCCTAAACCCTAAACCCTAAACCCCAAACCCTAAACTCTAAACCCTAAACCCTAAACCCTAAACCCTAAACCAAAGAGAGGAGAGACATGCCTTAGGAGCCACGGCATCAGCGACCCGCTGGAAGGCCATGGCGGGGAGCTGAAGCAGAGCAGCCTGTTAGGGTTTAGGGTTTAGGGTTTAGGGTTAGGTTTAGGGTTTAGGGTTTAGGGTTTAGGGTTTAGGGTTTAGGGTTTAGGGTTTAGGGTTTAGGGTTTAGGGTTTAGGGTTTAGGGTTTAGGGTTTAGGGTTTAGCATACTTGTGGCCCTGTTTCCCTTGCAGATTCCATGCAAGAAAGCAGCCCAGATCCGGTGCAGGGCGCGAGAAAGTTGTTGCAGCTGCTCCTGGCAATTCGCTGCCATGCCACCTTACTGATTTCTGAGACATGAGCAGAAACGTTTCTGGGCCTGCTGCGCAAAGTGGAAGCCACACGCAATGAGGCATTCTGCACTCTTCGACAACTCGAAGGGACTCAAAGTCTGCTCTAACTTCGCGACCCAGCACACCTCTGCCAGGCACAACGGGATTCTTGATTTTTGCAGCTTGAACTGTCGCGGATTTTTCGGAATGATAAGCCCTAAAAATCCCTAAGAACCCCAAAAAACCCTAAAAACCCTAAAAGCCCTAAACCCTAAGCCCCACGCCCCTTCCTTCAGTACGGAAGGTGAGATGTGCCAGACACGCCCTGGAACTCCGGCCTCGTCCTGTGGGGCGTCGCCGCTGCCTTCCGTGTCAGCGCCTCGTGGGGAAGCACTCAGAGGAACCATGAGGGGGTTTAGGGTTTAGGGTTTCGGGTTTAGGGCTTAGGGCTTAGGGTTCAGCATCTCGTGTTCTAGCTTGTTCTAAACAAGCAGCGATCCAGCTTTGGAATAATGCCCCAAAGAATCCCATAACATTAAGAAAACACGAAGTCCACTCAATTCATAAACCTGATGCTCCATACCTAAGGCCCGAGACCTTAAAGCCTTAAAGCACTCCCGGGCCTTGCCCACGAAGATTCGGGCCTTGCCCACTAAGATCATTCGGGTTTAAAGTTTTGTGTGATAGAGAGAGAGGGTTACGGGTTTAGGGTATAGGTCGGGAAACGATGCTATATCTATGGATGAAGAATAGATACCTGTCCATATATACATATATATATATATACATATTCACATATAAATATCTAAATCTAAATCTAAATCTAAATCTACATTTAGATCTAAATTTAGAGACCGGGACGCTGTGGGAGTGCACCTTTTCCATTTGTTTAAAGATATTTTAAAAACACTCACAGCGTACCCCTATTTTATATAAACAAAATCGCGAGTCATGCGCAACATGCAAGTGCGCCAACACAAAGCAGCGATACGGTGTATGTCCTGTCCCCGTTTTCAATATAAATGAGCCAGATTTATTGGAATCCTAGAAACAACAATAGGAATCCTCTATTTAAATCCGCAGGAACCCTATGTTAAATCAATCGGAGCCGTAAAGTCAATAGGAAGCCTCTTAACATGAATTGGAGGCCCTTCACAAAAAATAAGAATCCTTCATGAGCCTAAACCAATAGGAACCCCTTTAAAGTGAATGAGATCCCTATTAATATTAATACGAATCCCATTAACATGAACAAGAATCTGATTAAAATTTGTAGGAATCTTATCACATGAGTAGGGGCCTTATTAAAATAATTAGGAACCCTATGAAACTTTATTGGAATCCTATGAAAATGAATAGGAATCCTCTATTGAAATATCGGAACCGGATAACAGATAATAGGACGGAAGCCGATTAAAATGAATAGGAACCCTTGACAAATCAGAAAGAACCCGGGTTGCAATTCACAGGAATCCGATTAAAACGAGAAGGAATCTTATTAAAATGAATAGGAACCAATAGGCCTGAAAAAACAATAGAAGCCTTTAACAAGAACTAATAAGAATCCTACTAAACTAATATGAGCCTAATCCTTAAAATTAATTAAAACCCTTTGCGAATCCTAGTAACATGAATAAGAACCCTGTTTAAATTGATAGGAGCCTTATTAAATTGGTAGGAACATTAGGGCGTGATGTCTTAAAATATGTTGCCAAGGTACAGTGTTTAGTATAGATATTAGGTTTTGCTTGTTGGGGGATGACTGCTTGAGATACCCTAGCTAAGGTATAGTTTTCAGGATAGATGTCCTGTCTTGCGTATTGGGGCGTGATTGATTATATGGAGGTTTTGGTACTCTCTCGAGATTTTGCAGGATTCGAGTTTGCTTTTGGTACCTCCTCGAGAAATGGTGGCTGGGAGAGAGCCTCAGATCACGAAATCATGGAAAAAACATTGGTTTCGCCAATGTTGTTGAAGGATGGAGCTGAAAAACATTGGCAAAACCGACGTTTTCCAAAAAATGAGCACGAAATTCATGGATAACATTGGTTTTACCAATGTTTTTGAAGGATTGAGCCGAAAAACATCGGTAAAACCAATGTTTTCCAAAAAATCCATGCTTTTCAAACCATGTGGCTGGGAGCACGGAATTCATGGATAATATATCAATGTTGTTCAAATTTGTGCAAAGCAGGACCCAGAGAGTATTTTGTCACGTCTCTCGCTCGCAAGCATCAGGACATTTCGTTCATCGCCCACCAGATGAGAGAAACACATAATGCGGTGTGCTGGATTGCCCATGTTAGTGCTTTTGTCACGTACAAGAGGGCACTCAGACATAAAATCCCACAAAACCTTTAAAAAAATATGAGAGACTCTTCCCAGGGGTCCGGGTCCCCAACAGAGTCCCCCCAGAAAACCAAAAAAACCAAAAAAACCAAAAAAACCAAAAAAACCAAAAAAACCAATCCTGAGGGACTCTGTTGGGGACCCGGACCCCTGGGAAGAGTCTCTCAGGATTGGTTTTTTTGGTTTTTTTGGTTTTTTTGTTTTTTTTTTGGTTTTTTTTGTTTTTTTTGGTTTTTTTGGTTTTTTGTTTTGTGTATTATACCTTTTTGCACAGTCTTTCGTGTTTTTTTAGGTTTTTGTATAGATATTAGGTTTTGCTTGTTGGGGGATGACTGCTTGAGATACCCTAGCTAAGGTATAGTTTTCAGGATAGATGTCCTGTCTTGCGTATTGGGGCGTGATTGATTATATGGAGGTTTTGGTACTCTCTCGAGATTTTGCAGGATTCGAGTTTGCTTTTGGTACCTCCTCGAGAAATGGTGGCTGGGAGAGAGCCTCAGATCACGAAATCATGGAAAAAAACATTGGTTTCGCCAATGTTGTTGAAGGATGGAGCTGAAAAACATTGGCAAAACCGACGTTTTCCAAAAAATGAGCACGAAATTCATGGATAACATTGGTTTTACCAATGTTTTTGAAGGATTGAGCCGAAAAACATCGGTAAAACCAATGTTTTCCAAAAAATCCATGCTTTTCAAACCATGTGGCTGGGAGCACGGAATTCATGGATAATATATCAATGTTGTTCAAATTTGTGCAAAGCAGGACCTAGAGAGTATTTTGTCACGTCTCTCGCTCGCAAGCATCAGGACATTTCGTTCATCGCCCACCAGATGAGAGAAACACATAATGCGGTGTGCTGGATTGCCCATGTTAGTGCTTTTGTCACGTACAAGAGGGCACTCAGACATAAAATCCCACAAAACCTTTAAAAAAATATGAGAGACTCTTCCCAGGGGTCCGGGTCCCCAACAGAGTCCCCCCAGAAAACCAAAAAAACCAAAAAAACCAAAAAAACCAAAAAAACCAAAAAAACCAATCCTGAGGGACTCTGTTGGGGACCCGGACCCCTGGGAAGAGTCTCTCAGGATTGGTTTTTTTGGTTTTTTTGTTTTTTTTGGTTTTTTTGGTTTTTTTGGTTTTTTTGGTTTTTTTGTTTTTTTTTTGGTTTTTTTGGTTTTTTGTTTTGTGTATTATACCTTTTTGCACAGTCTTTCGTGTTTTTTTAGGTTTTTGTTTGAGATTTTGCATTTTTTGTTACAAAAAAGTGCACTCCCACAGCGTCCCATTTTCTAAATTTAAATCTAAATCCAAATCAAAATCTAAATATCTAAGTCTAAATATCTATATCTATATCTATGTTTATATCTGTATCTATATCTGTCTATCTCTATCTCAATCTCTATATCTATTTCTATAGTTTTATCTACATCTATATCTACATCTACATATATCATATATCATATATCAGATATCATCTAGTACATATACATAGAAGCGTATACACGCAACTAAGCATGTCTTGACCATATGACCGCCCAAATCCCAGGTCTGCTTCACCCGCCGTGTCGCCTCGGAGTCCCCGGCCACCATCGGCGGCACGCCGAAGGCCCCGCGCGAAATCGCGCGACGTCGCGCGAGTTTCGGGCTTCGGAATCCCATGGCCCAAAAGTGGGACTTTCAGATTGGAGGGGACACTCTGGGTTGGCAGAGTTTAGGGGGTTTAGGGTTTAGGGTTGAGGGTTTAGGGTTTAGGGTTAGGGTGGTTGAGGGCAACCTTTGAGTTTGGGATTCTGAGGCCCAGCACCGCGAGCAGAGGAGCAGGCATGCGGCGGCCAAGCCGCCTACCCGTGCTGCAGCCCCAGTCAAGCTACGCCACCTTCGGCTTGCGCTACGCAATCAGGGTTCAGGGTTAGTGTTCAGGGTTCAGGGTTCAGGGTTATTCGGGTTTAGGGTTTAGGGTCGTCTAGCCATTGTTGGTAAGACATTGCTTCTCGGCAATCTGCCAAGGCCTGTTCTCACTTGCGACAACCTTCGTTGAAAGGACGACGCGGAGGCAGCAACGAGGGAGAGCTGCTGGAATTAATGAAGTTCGTGACCTCAAGACAACACAGTTCCCGCGTTCGCTCGTGGTTTGTTGGCAGTCACTAAGCCCTAAACCCTCTCAACCCTCAACCCTCAACCCTCAACCCTCAACCCTAAACCCTAAATCCTAAACCCTAAGCCCTAAACCCTCAACCCTCAACCCTAAACCCTAAACCCTAAACCTTGAGTGGGGTTGCCTCTCGAGCGGCGAATGCGGCGAAAGACTCGTTGTCCCAGCCCAGCAAGTACAGGAGATAAAGAAGGGTGCCTGAACGAATGCACTATGGCTGAAGGGTTTCCCTAAACCCTAAACCCTAAACTGTAAGCCCTAAACTGTAAACTGCAAACTCTAAACCTTAACCCCGAAACCCTAAACCCTGCTATGTCAGTGACCCGCAGGCGCAGCGGTGCTACGTCTCCTGTGAGCAGGATTCATCGGCGGAGGAATGCAGGGGTTTTAGTGGCACAAATTCTAGCACCAAGCGTGCTAGCGGATTGTGTGTTCATGATCATCTTTCCTCGTACAGTTATCACCTCACCGGATTGCAGATTGTACAGCCAAAAAACGGTGTGATTCATGTAATTTCTAAGAGCCTCTGGTGTCTCGGAGTTACAAGGCCTTCAGACACAGACGGCGGGTCCGCGTCAAGTTTGAGACGCGGGAAGTACGGCCTTTGGGACTTTTCAAGCACCAGGTGTGATGCCCCTGATGGCCGAACGAACTTGAGCTCTGTGGAAATATGGGATGCCATGCCCATGAGCCAAAGCAATCCAACAGTTTGATATCAGGGGGCCCCATGAAGGATCGCCGTTCGCAACATGAGAGCTTCTCTACCCAGTCAGAAGCGCCTTTTGCGAGTTGCTTCCCGAGCTGGCGAGAGAGCTGCAGGCCTCACCGAGCGCCTCTGAAGTCTGAACCTCGGAAGCACTTTTGCCTGCTGCGTAGCCTAATCTCGGGAGACGCTGCTCGCCACCAAGCTTCCGCCTCCAAGTTTCTCCACACATGTTCTGTAGTGCTGCGCCGCCGACCTACGGCATTGCACAGCACGAAGCGCACTTGAACATGAGGGCACCGGCGCGGCCACTGCAGCCGTTGGCTACACTGCCGAACGGGTAGGCTAGCTGACGACCAGCCAGAGATCATTCCGCATCGGTGCTCAGACGACATGTAGAAACGTTTAATGAACTGTTTTCGGAAAGCTTCGTGGGGCACAGCTTGCACGCTTGTATCTAACAACACGTGCTGCTTTGTGCTGCCAGCACCCATGGTCATCATTCAGGACTGCGACTAAACCCTAAACCCTAAACCCTAAACCCTAAACCCTAAGCCCCAAGCCCTAAACCCTGAACCCTAAGCCCCAAGACCTAAACCCTGAACCCTGAGCTCTGAAACCCTAAACCCTAAACCCTAAACCTAAACCCTAAAACCCCAAAACCCTAAAACCCTAAACCCTAAAACCCAAAACCCAAAACCCCTAAACTCTTCTCTCCCTTGTAGGACTGCAGCAGCGAGAAGCCGCAGATTATCTCTCGCCCCTGGGCTTGAAAAGAGATCTAAAGCCCTGGGAGCAGCTCAGTATGTTCGCAGCTTGTGCTCTGTGGGTTTAGGGTTTAGGGCCCTCCGCGCCCTCCGCGCCCTCCGCGCCCTCCTTTAGGAGGGGGCCCCAGATTTTTGCCTCTGGAGCTGCAGCTGAAGCTGTTTTGAGGCAATGACCCCGACAATGCTCGCGTGGATGTCGAGGTGCCCCTGGCTTTGGGGTGTGGATGTCTGGGTTCTGCAGGGAAGTCCGCCCAGAGTCCGCAGTGCCCATGTTGAGCTTGCACGTGGGGTGGTCATATCTTGGAAGTGCTTAAGCGCTGGAGGACAGTTCACGTTCTGTCAAGTCGCTGAACAAACCCTAAACCCTAAACCCTAAACCCTAAACCCTAAACCCTAAACCCTAAACCCTAAACCCTAAACCTAAACCCTAAATCTTAAACCCTAAACCCTAAACCTAAACCCTAAACCTAAACCCTAAACCCTAAACCCAAAACCCTAAACCCTAAAGCCTCGCTTAACGCTAGTTGGCGGCAGAGGAGAGCGGGAGGCTCGAGCGCAGGCCGAGACGAGCTCGAAATTCTATGCTCCTGAGAGTCACCAAGTCGTCTCCGCAAGCTCATGCTCTTTTCTATATGTAGGCTCCGTTTTTGAAATCCCCTCCAAGCGGTTGAACCCGTTAAGGCGCCTTTCCACATACATCATGAGTTCCGGAAACCACGCCCGAGGCAAAAACCCTGCTGCGCCTTCTTCCGCCCTTCCGGGCCCCTAAACCCTAAGCCTAAACCCTAAACCCTAAACCCTAAACCCTAAACCCTAAACCCTAAACCCTAAACCCTAATACCCTAAACCCTAAACCCTAAACCCTAAACCCTAAACCCTAAACCCGAAACCCTAAACCCCAAACCCCAAACCCCAAACCCTAAACCCTAAACCTTAAACCCTCATTCCGCCCCACGGAGGCACTGAAGGCGCAAGCTCGGGCACTTCGCTCCAAGGCCGACTCTCTCCGCAGCGGCCGGGCACCCAAAGCTCGCGATAAATTTGGCGTCGCTTTTATGGGGGGGGTTTAAGGTTTAGGGTTTGGGGTTTAGGGTTTGGGGTTTAGGGTTTAGGGTTTGGGGTCTGGGGGTTTAGGGGATTAAGGGGATTTAGGGGATTACGGGGATTTCGGGGTTAAGGGGATTTGGGGGGTCTAGGGTTTTGGGAGTTTATGGTTTTCTATTTTTTGGGGCTTTTTTGAGGGGAGGAAGAGGCAGGGGCGTAAATTGTGCTTTGGATTCCAGCCTTTTCAGTATGAGGGTAACTGCTTTGCCCCCTGCAATGTTCCGCGTTTGGTAGGCTGGGTACGGCAGATGCTTCCAGGCGCTTGTGAGGTGTTTTTTGAAGACAAAACTTCAAGTCCCATTCAAGTCCCAAGCCCGCGCTGAAGCCCGTAGTTCACTCTTCCCGAGCCCGCCGCACTAAGATCGCATCACTACCACTGTGCGCGGCGACCTACGCTGGGGCCGCGCTTGACGCCGAGTCCGACTGAGTCCACGAACCCGAAGACTAAACCCAAAACCTCTCTGCTGAGACGAGCGCAGCCAATTGGTGTAATTCAATGTGTCCCTAAACCCTAACCCCCTAAACCCCTAAAACCCCCTAAACACCCCTAAACACCCCTAAACCCCTAAAACCCTCTAAACCCCTAAAAACCCCTAAAAAACCCTAAAAACCCTAAAAACCCCTAAACCCCTAAACCCTAAACCCCTAAACCCTAAACCCCTAAACCCCTACACCCCTAAACCCTAAACCCCGAAACCCTAAACCCCTAAACCCCTCAACCCCTAAACCCCTAAACCCCTAAACCCCGAAACCCCTAAACCCCTAAAAACGCTATAAACCCCAAAACCCTAAACCCCTAAACCCCTAAACCCCTAAACCCCTAAACCCCTAAACCCCTAAACCCTAAAAACCCCTAAAAACCCCTAAAAACCCCTAAAAACCCCTAAAAACTCTAAAAACCCCTAAAAACTCTATAAACCCCAAAACCCTAAACCCGAAACCCCTAAAAACCCCTAAAAACCCCTAAAAACCCCTAAAAACACCGAAAAACCCCGAAAAGCTCTACAAACCCCAAAACCCTAAACCCTAAACCCCTAAAAACCCTTAACAACCCCTAAAAACCCTAAAAACCCTAAAAACCCCTAAAAACCCTTAAAAACCCCTAAAAACCCCAAAAAACCCTTAAAAAACCCTAAAAACCCCTAACAACCCCTAAAAACCCTTAAAAACCCCTAAAAACCCCTAAACCCCTAAACCCCTACACCCCTAAACCCTAAACCCCTAAACCCCTAAACCCGAAACCCCTAAACCCCTCGTCTCCTTCGGTTGGGCTGCAGGTGGCACTGGCTGCAGCCGTCCACGGCGTCCTGCTCCTCGGATTCAGCACCTGCATCCAGGCGGCGTCATCCAACAGGCGAGCAGTGGGTTTAGGGTTTAGGGTTCAGGGTTTAGGTTCAAGCCGTGATCAAAGGCCGGCAGCCCCCCAAAAGTTGCTGCTGGCTTTGCTTGGCGCAGGCACCTCCAGGACGCCATGCCGTGGCTGGTTCGGCTGACCATCCTGTGCCCCCCCTCTCTGGGTTTCCGGGAAGCGTGCGGGGCTTTTGCTCAACTTGGAGGGTTTAGGGTTTAGGAGGAGGGTCAAAGATGGGAGCTCAGTTGCGAGTGGCGGTTGCCGGACAAGCTTTCTCTAGAGACTCCAATACCCCTTAAGTAAGGCATATTCCCTAAATTATAATAGGGTTCCCTTCCTTATATGGTTGAAGGAATCTTCCTTAAATGATAATAGGGTTCCCTTATACTTACGGCTTAAGGAATATTCCTAGCCAAGGGCTATTGGAGTCTCGGGGTTTCTCTTGAGTCCCGCGCCAGGTTCATGTTCTCCTTGGCTTGCTGCACGCTGGCAGGGGCCTCACATTTCCAGCTTGTCGCGGTTAAGCATGGCCCTAACTAAACCCTAAACCCCTAAACCCCTAAACCCCTAAACCCCTAAACCCCTAAACCCCTAAACCCCTAAACCCCTAAACCCCTAAACCCCTAAACCCCTAAACCCCTAAACCCTCAACCCTCAACCCTAAACCCTAAACCCTAAACCCTAAACCCCAGAATGTGGCAGAGCATTCCCGAGGTTTACCTTGGACAAGGCAAGCAGGCGTTGGCCATGGTGGGCGTAACTTTCGCCTTGGATGGAGGCTCAGAGTTGGGCAGAACAGAAAGCTCGGGGGGTCATGATATGCAGTGCCCCTAAACCCTAAACCCTAAACCCTAAACCCTAAACCCTAAACCCTAAACCCTAAACCCTAAACCCTAAGCCCTAAGCCCTAAGCCCTAAACCCTAAACCCTAAACCCTAGACCTTCTGTCCTCCTAGGAATG